ACAGAAACCGCACTCAGGGAAGGCAAGCGGACGCAATTGTTGTGCCAAGTTGATTTCCACATTTTCGCGAAGTTCGCGGTGGCTTGTCCTCACAGCGCAAAGTCCTTGTCAGTGTTCCAACATTCTGCTTCCTAGGAAGTGTGCATCAGATATTACTCCCGGCCCTGTCCTCTGATTTCAACTCAATTTCATTACCTCTGTCGTGACGGAATCCCGTAGTGACGTTCTTTCCCTTCTGATTACTCAATGATGCTATCTTGAAAATGCCGCTCTGGTGCCAAATTGCGCGGTATTTCGTTTCTCTCCTTCTCCGCCACTTCCTCTTTCTTTTGCGACGTTTTGGCCAGTACAGTCGTACTTGTACTTCCTTTTCCCAACCTTCTTTTTTTTTTTTGACACCATTTAACTGCCAACACACCCCACGTTAGCTTACAACTGCCACTCTGTGAACTATAGCTGTCGATCTTGCCAGCCGCGGCGCGAAGCGATTTGTTTGTTAGCTGCTAGGAAAAACGCGTTCTTACTACAAAGTTTCTACGACCTGCCGTGTTCATGTTCAGACATGAGTCTAGAGGGTAACGAAATTCCCGGTAGGGGGCGCCGCGTTGGCAAAGCGCCATTTCATTGCTGCCTTGCTCCATGGCGGCTGTGGCGCTCTGCATACGCCAGGTCGAGAGTTCCATTCCCGACCGCAAAGGCCGCATACCAATGATGTGGAGTGTAATGAAAAAGAAACTTTTCGCTTTGGGAGCACATTAAATCCTCTATGGAGTCCTTTCGAGCACCTGGACTCCTCTATATATTGTCCTTCAGTATCTTCAACCTCACGGCCTTCCTCTTCACCTCTTTCTCTCTGTCTCTTTCTCTCAATTTAGACGTTTATCATTAAGTTGACTTCAATTTTTGCATGGCAGCCCGCTTTTACATAGAGCACACGCAGGTCTCATCTATAGGGTTCAAATTGCAACAATGGTTCCTGTTCGTTGACACCTCGGCTTTAGAGCGTAATGCGTAGTGTTACGTCATGAAGATGCGGAGGCGCGACCGTTAATCTGGGTACATAGCCAAAACAGCATACGCACATGACGTACGCAGATGTTCTCGTGGGCGTGATTCCGCGAGAAATTTTCGAAGATGGTATTCATGACTTTTGGTGAAATGCTTCTTGTGGAAGCTAAAACAACGATATGATTATGTGAGGGATGTCGCGATGGAGGTCCCAAGAAATTTTGACCATCTGGTGTTCTTCAAAAACGTGAACTGACATCGTACAGTACACAGCACTCTATCATTTCACCTTTATTTAAGTGCGACCACCACGGCCGGACTTGAAACAGCGACCTTACACTCAGTGCTACTTACTAACTATTGAGGTAGTAAAGGGCTGTCACAACATTCACTACCTAAGTTGCCACCTAGTTACTACTGTGGTAGTGTATGTTGTGACAGCAATTTACTCCCTCAAAAGCTAGTAATTAGCATTACCTCTATTTAAGAGTGTACAGTCAGCAGTGGATCATCGTTACCACTGCACAACCGCGGTTGACAGTATGCGCCTTACTGTTGATACTTTTGTATGCAACTTCGAATAACGAGGAGCCTGATATGCTGTAGGTGGCCAGGAGTGCTATAACGTGATAATATCTCGCACTCTTTCTATTGCCATTTGCTTAACGTCAAATTTGTGTCGCTTCTCAGCCAAATTTCATGGCTTTATTGTTTATAAAAAGGTTTTTTTTTTTCCTTTTTAAGTTCGAATAGCATTGCCTGTTCCGACTCAATCTCCTCAACTAACACGAGTTCCATGAGCGGGCATGAGGGATGTGGGTGAAGCTCGCGGAGCTAAAGCATGACACCAGTTGTGCTGCGTCACCCTTTGGCGCGCCTCATTCAGGTGCGCATCGTGTACTTGAAGCCACTTAGTTTTTAATACAAACGTGTGCAGCAAGTTGCTACGCCGGGTTCATGTAAAAGCTGCATGTTCTTTCGACTAAAGCACTTTCCAAATTTACACCATAAAAGATCTATTGCATAATCTGTGCAGAATTACAGCCTTTTAAAAACTAAAGCATGAAATAACGGCCTAAGATCGCGTTAGATTAGAGCATAAGCTTTTGGAATGATCGTTTCAGTTTCACATGTCATCGTCAATCCTAATTTATTAAAGGTGCAGAAAAAGCACAATATTGTAAACGGACAATTGCCAAAATTCTACCTTGAAGCAAATATATAGGGCGAAAAATGCAATAAACAAATTAATTTATGACTACTGTTTTTAGTTGAATGAGATAGGCCAATGAAAAAAAAACATCCAGGTTGCCACTGATGTGAGTGATCATTTTTTACAAACTCAGGGAATCAGTTAAAGAAAAACGAATGGGTAACAACGTCACGACCCTTGAAATAGTGTGTGGAACAGATAACATACTTTTGGTAACACACAGGCCAAATAATTGGCCTACCTGAACGCCTGCGTTTTAGTTTTGACTACAGTTGTGGCAGCTCAGATAACATTCTACGTGTGCCGGATAAGTAAATAGTAAAGTGTAAGAAATATGGACCATCTCCCCGAAGGGAATCCTGGTGGTATGCGAACGGCCGCAGCGGTGACCCGGTCGAAACGGGCGTTTGCGCGAGTGCTGGAAGAATGGTCTGAAGCGACACTCGGTGTAACGTTTACTAGAGTAAACGTTCGTTTGAAAAGCAAGCTTCCCGCGAGGTGGTTTGAGTTTTTTAAGTTTCATCACTGATAAAGACTGTTAGCTCGACGAGCGCTCGAACGTTGTCAGTGGTGGAGAGGGTGAAGCTAGTGAGACGACACGCGGCGAGCGGCGACAGGCTAGGGAGAGAGTGACGTCAACGCCCGTGCTCTGCGACGGAAGGCGTGACCTACTTGGCACCGCCTCAGCACCTGCGGCCAGGGGAGCGCCGTGCGGACGGAGGTACAGCGTTACACAGGCCAGTCAAAAAGCTGCTTTTCATCCAAAAACCGAAATTAATTTGCATAGTAGGACTTCGTAGGACACTGTCAGCACCGGCAATGTGATACACGTCTTCTACCTGGTACCGTGCGACAATGGGCAAGTGCACAGCGACAATGTTGTTTTAACTCTCATTGCAATGAATGATTGCCTGAAACAGTGGCTTATATACAATATTTGGCACGAGAACGCAGGCATTTTAACTTCAAGGCAATATTTAAAATATTGCTCGCGGCGTTTTGTTTTTGTTTTGTAATCAGCATCTTCTGTAGGAGAAGCTACTCTGAAGTCACACGTGTCTCAGGCAATAACTTAATTTAATAGAGTCTGGGGAATAGAATAGCTAAAATGAATTGAATCACTAGTGGAAAAGATCAATCATAGAAAATAATCTAACGCGGCCTTTTTATTGTTAGCCCAAAGGCGCTTCAGCAACTACAAGACTCATCGGATCCATGTGTTTGAGTGATTAAATGCAATGCGAATTGTCTAAATAACTGAAAATAGGTTGTGGTTACAATTCATTTGAGCAAGCACACTCATATGCTATCAAATATAGTAAACATGCCATGAATGCAAGTCCCATCAAAGCACTTGCCGGAAATAACTTCCACCCACAAGCAAAAATATCCGCAGATGACATGAGGAAAATGCGCTTTCGCAGTTGGCTGCAGTACTAAGGTCACCACAAACACTTAACACATTCATCATCTGCAGTTCATATAAAATAAGGCAACTGCGTCGTCTCAGTCGCTGTCTACATTAGAGGCCATGAATGATTCTTTTTGAGAAAAGTTGGCGCTCAGCACCATCTGTTCACATTATACCAGAAAACAATAAGCTATATTTGGAACAAATTACTAAAGTTCGCCCGAGTAAGCTACGTCACTGCGTTCATGAAGCAACACCGTGAAATAGTGACTTGATTTCTCTAAACTATAAAGTGGATGTGCACCTATACCCAAAATGACTTGCCGTTGAGGACACTCAATTTTTTCAGCTCTCTCACTTTATTTTACGAGCGTTTGTAAGCGCAGCTAGTGAAGGGAGTAACCTAAGGAGAGTCACGCGCTGGCACATTGCCCACGAACGTTCAAAAAATTTAACATTGCACGAAGTTGTGTTCTGTCCTAGTTATTTCTCCCCTGAGTTTATTTCTTATTGGTGGTATTCCATATTGAAAACATGTTTCCATTCGATTGTGTCAACTGGGTCTGCGGAGTCAAGATGGCAAACCATAGGGAGATCTGTCGTCTTCGCTGAGCTAGCAGGCGACGATTTCAAGGAATGACGCAGTCAGACCAAAACAGCAAGACTACTGTGGAGCTGCGCAATTCGGCTTTTTTTAGCACACAAGTCGGACAGCCGTCTCCTAGGGGAGCTAACAGCACGCGGCACCTTAAACAGTGTTGGCACCAACTCGAAAGCGGAAAAGAATAGCACTGGCATGACCACTCCCCTGACACCCCATCAAGCACGAGCTAGTACAATTGCGCATAACCTGGAATTGCCAAGTTTCTCGTGGTCGCAGGCGCAAAACGCAAAGACTTCATTAAAATGAAAGGAAAAAAAGGAAATAGAATGTCGTTGCAGCATGTTGTTGCGACTCCCAGCGACATAACTTTACCGACAACATGTAGCAAAAACGTCCTTAAAGAAGGGAGGCCACTGCACCAGCTGAAACATCGCAACCTTACAGGACATTTGGTACAAGGCTTGGTTCATTCACTAAATGAGAACGAATGTCTTCGGCTTTGCTCAAAGGAGCAGAGGGGGATACGCTACCACATCGCGGACTACTGCTTTTTGCACATCCGCATCGATGAGGTGCATGCAAGCCCAGCTGGTGCCGAATGGCTGTTCTATTTCGAGATACCGGCCGCAGGCGCCGGGGCGCGACGACTCGCAGTGATTTTTTGCGCCGCAGGTCGCTCCCGGGAGGCTACCGAGGGCGACCTGGGATGCGAAAGCACGGCGAGCGTCGCTCGCGAGGGCGTAAAAGAGAGGACGGGTACTTACGTGTGGGCCGGCTGCACGACCATCCCGGTTTCTGGAAGGCAAGCAGCGGAAGGATAGGAATGAGCACCACACTCAGAGACACACGAGCGCTGTGAACTGTGCGCGAGGCGAGGCCAGCACTTTTGACGTCGCCCCGAGCTGGTGCCCGGGAGACTTTAAAGTAGTCCACGAACTGGACTTACCGTTTCGAGTCGGAGTCTAGAGAGCGTCAAGCCCGGAGAGGCATCTCCAGACACTGGTCCCGAATTAGCTAGCGGGACGTTCCCGTTCCCCGACGCATGCGCCCCTGACAGGAAATGACGCGGAGAGCGCCCCCTTCCCGCCTATTTTTGCCCTGGTGTAAGCTTACGCCGCCGCCATTTTTGGAAGCGCATTTCTGGGGGCGGCCGCACTTTCTGGCCGGCATTTCTAGGGTTTCGACCTGTGTTTACTAAGGCGCGTATTTTCGGCGTCACTGGGACGGTATTGCCGATTAGTCGCATTATCCGGCCACGGTGTCATCGCGCCGCGTTGTCCCTACCACGTTTACTGTCGCGTGGCCGTCAAAGCCTTTTTTCGTCGGACCGCGGATCGGGGAGCACCCGGTGGCGACCCTCCCGGAATAGTCCGCCCTTGACAGCAACTGACCGAAGACGGTGAGCCTGCAGCAGGCGCTCGTGTTGCCCACCAGGTTGGACGCCGTGCACACGTACACGCCCGAGTCCTCGGGAAACGCTTCGGGGATGCTGAGCCAGGCGGTCCAAGGGGCCGGACCAGACGGCTGACCCACGACGTGGTCGGGCCCGTGCACGGGCAGGCCGTCCTTGAACCAGCGCAGCCGCGGAGCCGGGCAGCCCGTGAGGAGCGCACGAAGCGTCGCCGGCTGCCCTGGCACCGCGAACACGTCCTCGGGACCCTGCGAGCGCCGGGATGCTGGCATGTGTCGTTGCGTTTTCGACACTACTCACCTGCAGGAACACAGGTGCCGACACGCGCTGACCCGTGGCCGGGTTCTCAGCGATCACCACGGCTTTCTTTTTGGGACTCCACACGGGGCTGGCTGTCTTGGTACGGATGATGGATCGCGGACTCTGGAATTGGCCCGTTTCAAGGCAGAAGCTGGTGCGCACCGACAGCGGCTCGAACAGCGACGGGCGGCTCTGTTCCGGGTGCACCAGTGGTGGTGGCGGCGCGCGGATGGGCCTGCTGCTCAGCAGCGGGGCATCGTACTTGGGCTCCAGGATGTCGAATTTGGGCTCCGGTGCCACAGGAATAGGCTCGACACGGCTTAAGGGCCCCGCCGCGCGGCTGGCCCGACTGGTGCTCAGCTGCAACGGAAACGGGACCCCGTCTCGGCCATGCAAAGCTCCATTCATCAAAGCACTGTCGTCCGAACAGCAGTATAGAGAGGCTCTCGCGATCGGCATATTTGTGCATAGGCTTACGTACATTGTGCCGCAAGCAGCAGGCCCATCTACGTACGGCACAAAGAAGCGGCAGCCACGTGTGTGCAAAGTGCGCACGTTTGGTTTCGGTTGGGAAGGAGACAACATGCAACACATATTCAACACAAATGCATAGCTTTATTTCACGTCACTGTTACAACTGTGAAGATTACTTTCTGTCGGTTTTGGTCAAGGCACTGTGACAAGCATGCTACACCAAACACTTAAGGACGGGCGGTCAAGGGTAAGGAAGGAGAGCTCAGTTCCGAGCGGCAGCCATACAGACAGATAACACAACGGAGAGCACCATCAGATAGCACGGACAAGAAAGGTGCCTTCTGGACAGTCTCTATGCCAGCCTTGAGCAGAACAAGTATAAGGAGGAAAGTAGAAGGGGACGCCGCACGGCGTCAGGTAGGCCTGCAGTGCTACTTGCGAAACTCCCACTTGTAGACCAAGGGACCCCTCACCTCTTTAGTTTGAGTCTTGGTAATCTCAGTGACTCTCTTGGTCACTCGGCGGGTCACTTCTTCTGTGACTTTGTCTTTGGCACCTGCGTGGTCCACTATTTTGGTGGTTGTCTCCTCTGACACTTCCGGGGGCATCTCGTTCACGTGTGTCACTTCAGTCACGCGCATTTGCAGGTCACCTGACAGAGCCAAGCCGGTAGAGTCCACTGGTCCCGTTCGAGGCACCTTTGTCTCGTACACTTTCACCTCGCTCGCTTGCTGGATGCTCTCGTCGCGTCTTTGGACGTTGTCAGTTCCGTCGTCGTCTTCGTCAAGCACAATTAACTTAGTGTTCGCGGTCACGACGCCATTAGGACTTTGTACGCGCACTTCAAGGTCCCCAGAGTCCTCAGGAAAGGCCTCGGAGATGGTTAGACTGAACACGGCCAGTGATGTTCCGGCCACGTTCTCCAATGACCGGGTGAGCCGGAAGTCTGGCGAGTCGGTGATAGGCTGACCCGACCGAAACCACGAGGCTGTTAACTGTCCACCAGGCGGCTGCGCGCAGGCCACGCTTAGGCACACCTTGGTTCCGCTCTGTACCACCAGCTCGGAGGGTAGCGAACGGGCTAGCCGCAACTCTGATCCACTCTTGGACACGGACACAGTCTGCTTCGACGTTCTCGATACAGCAAGCTGGGTGGTTGCCGCCTGGACTGCCTTCTGCACAGATAGGAAAGAGGGGTCGTTTGTGCCTCGTTCGGGAGCGTGGTCGAACGCAGAGGGTCTACCTGAGCTTCGCGAACCAGCATCCTGCAGCCCGTGCGCGTGCGTCCTCCGGGGTTGCTGGCCTCCACTTCGTAGTGGCCGCTGTCATTCACTGCCACCTTGGGGATGAGCAGCTTGACTGTTCCATCGGGGTCGTGGCTGATCTGCATCGGGGCGCGAGTTGAAAGTGACTAGAAAATGTAGCGACAAGGGTGGCCTGTTTCATACCTGAAAATCTGGGCTGGGTAGCAGTTCTCTCCCATCCTTGAACCAGTGTACGAAAGGTGGCTCCGGCGCCCACAACTTGGCAGTGAGCACCACACGGCTCCCTTCATCCGTTGTGACGTCTCTGAGAGGCTCCAGAAAAACGGGAGCGGAGAGCGTCAAACGCAGTTTACATTCCGTGAAACAGCTGCCCATAGGGTTGACCGCTGAGCAGCGGTACGTGCCGGCGTTCTGCGTGCTGATGCCGTTGAGCAAAAGAGAGCACTTGTCTCCGCGGAACAGCAGCCGCACCCGCTCAGACTCCTTGATCGGTTGCGTATTATGATACCAGATCACCTGCGCAATAAATGCAAACACTAAACGTTGCCTTCAGACTCAAATATTCAAACCGCTACGTGGGATCGAAGTAATATGCTCAAGCTAACATCCACGTCATTTTCTAATCGCATAGATATGTTTCGCTGGACTCGTTCTTTGTTTTCGTGGCCATTCACATTACACTAGCAAACAAACTTTATGAATGCACTCTGACAGGAAGAGCTATGATATAGCACTGAATGGTAAAAACACGAAAGTAACTGCTGTTTATGCGTAATTATGCGTCACTGATGAGAAAAATGAGAGAAAAAAAAAACGTTGCACTTGACACTAATGTTACTTGTACAACAGAGTTGATAAATAAACAAACGAAAATCGTCAAGTAAGGAAATGAGTACAACAAGAGAACGTAAAAACGTACCACAATCATACGTAAATGATATGAACGTGATACTTATATAATTGAAATCAAAACGGGAATAAGTTACCACAGCACTGAACAATTTTCTTTAGCATGCGAAATATGGTGTCCTCGCTTTATAATGTGAACCCAGAGAATAAGCCCTATAAGTGAGAAAGTAAAATTTTCAACGCGTAGCAGAAATAAACAAAGCACTATTTGGAAAGAGAATAAAGAAGCAAAATAGAGACTTAAAAAAACGACGTGTGCAAACAAATAATGTAAACATAGCATTTTGCAACCGATGAACACGATTACACCCAATTAGAAGGAGAGCAAGGTGCGTGTTGAAGCCGTCTTAGTGGCCAAGTCATGTTTGACATATTTGTTTTAAGACTGCAGCTAATTGTAAGAACACCGACTGAGTGGAACAGCTCGTGTGGCATAATGGATGGATTCAAGCATCCCGGCCTTTTGCGTCGTATCAATTGGGGCGTCGTGTTAGGCGAAACGAGCTGATGAAATAGGTGGTATTAGTCCATATGACGAGAAGATATCTACATGAAATACGGAATGCGCAGATGACTTTAACTTTAAGTATGTTAAATGCTTCAACGTTAACAAAACACCAGATGGTCGAAACTTCCGGAGCCCTCCGCTAAGGCGTCTTTCATAACCACATCGTGGTCTCGTGACGTAAACCGATTATTGTTTATTATTATTATTATTATTATTATTATTATTATTATTATTATTATTATTATTATTATTATTATTATTATTATTATTATTATTATTATTATTATTATTATCATCATCATCATCAAAAGAAGGGGCAGTATGAACAACATACAGAGTGTTGGTTTTTGCAGGAATGGTGCGCCTTTGACATACACCGAGTTTTTTCACGTTTTTTGACGATTTATTACCCCATTCAAGGCGGCAATAATTTGACGATGAGAAAAATAATCCTTTGTATATTAAGCGCTTAGCTTTTATGGTTGCACTTGACGGTTTTGTAATTATTGCAATGATGAAAATTTGTTGTTCTTGAAAGTCAAAGACGTTCGTATCAAGAAAGAACACACACCCGCTTAAGCTAATACCAGGCGCTTCTAAAGCATCAGGAAGTAATATTTTGATAAAGTCATTCTTAAACAGACGGGCTATTCGTTGGGAGACATTCCACCCGTAGAGATGATACGTACTGGTCATTTATTTATGAAAATAAATATTACAATTCAGTAAGGTAGCTCATAGTAATAAATAAATATAATCGAGCTCTCTGTAATAGCTCATCACTAATTGTACATGAAAACGAAAATGCGATTACCCGCGCAACTCTGCAGAGCAGGCAAAAGCGATACTGAAAGACTGCCCCGCCGCTGTGGTCTAGCGGCTAAGGCACCCGGCTGCTGACCCGCAGGTCGTGGGATCGAATCCCGGCTGTGGCGGCTGCATTTCCGATGGACGCGGAAATGGTGTAGGCCCGTGTGCTCAGATTTGGGTGCACGTTAAAGAACCCCAGGTGGTCGAAATTTCCGGAGCCCTCCACTACGGCGTCTCTCCTAATCAAATGGTGGTTTTGGGACGTTAAACCACACATATCAATCAATCGAAACTGGAAGACTGAAGCGTTCCATGGCAGCACTCCTCGAAGCTACGTAAGTGGTTACCGTTGGCAGCCACCGTTGTGCTCCGCACAGTCGATGAATGAGTCGCGTGACGGAGCTACTGCTGCTGTATGCGCTGATTGCCCAGAACTAAGTGACGTAAGCACCTACGTCGTCTCGACGAGTACTATCATACGCGCGCCATCGAGCGTATTGTATGTTAAAATGATTGTGTCGGAGCAATCATCTTACGACACCTTTCTTTCATCGCGTCGGCAAGGTTAGGCCGGGGACACGTCAACGTTCTTGGCCTAATTTAGATTATTCTTGCTCTACGGGGCTCAGAAGCTGCGGTGTTCTGCATCTGAGAACGTTGTTCCTTGTCGTGGAGGATGCATTATGAATAGTAGTGGGAGAACGCTCGTGTATCGTGCGTTGGGCACACAGTGAAAAAAGAAACCTGATACTAAAACCTTTCAGACTCTCACATTAAATTTGCAGTTCCAGTTTCGAACTTTCACTTTTACAACTTTTTGTTTATTTTCGAAATAAGAAATAAAGTTTGGAAAGCAAGTAGTTATTGACAACGATTTACTGATCGCTAGTAGCCCCCAAATAGAAGTTTTACCTTCATAAAAAATTCTATCTCCCTCTTGTACTTTCTCACGTTTAGTGTCTTGTTGCGGCCACGAAATGTTTAAGACAAGTTCTTTAGAGGCTCTGTTTTAGGAAAAGAGCAAAAGTTTAATTTCTTTAAGCGAGAGAAGGGCGTTGGAAGTACGAATCACTGTAGTAACAAATAGTGCACTGACATTATTTACCATTGCTTTTGTCCAGGCACTACGTGATTTGATTGTATAGGCATAACCATGTTGTGATGTACTAATATAGTTATGATCATGTTTTCGTGTTCTGTATGTGTGACTCCTGCTTTGTATTATGTAATTCATGTATATCCCCCAATTGTAATGGCTATCAAGGCGTTGTGGGTATTCTATAAATAAATAAATAAATAAATAAATAAATAAATAAATAAATAAATAAATAAATAAATAAAATTGCTGTTCTCTTCCCATCAAACTCGCAAAAGTACCATAAATGTGTATTCACGATCATGTTTTTTACCACCAAATTATACAGCGATGTGAAATAATCTGAAATGTCAGAGTTTTATCTTTCAGCGTATTTTTGCGAGCAAACGCAAAGTTGATGTAAGACACGCCGTGAAACCATGAGTAACAATTCGCCCTGCTTGCGCCGACGTAATGGAAGACGTGCCAAATGTGGTATAGAATGATTAAGACCTCTTACAACGCACTGAGTCACTTCCACATTTCAAGTGGCTGACTGCGCTGTTCATAGTAGGTGATTGAGGTGTGCGAGTTAAATGCGACAAAAATCGTGAAATGCGAAACGGAGAACTGAACATGGGAAACATAGAAGGACGCTTTTTTTCCAGAATGAGCCTTTTTTCACCATTCAAGAACCCCATCTGGGGTTTACCTCGGGTACTCGCGTGTACATATATGCACCGGTTATTTACGTCCACGTTCTAATACAGGATCTGTGTTAGTAAGAATAAAAATAGTAAAGCATGTGGGAATTGAGGCTAGCCCGCTGCCTTTGCGCGGGCTTTGCCTCCTCTTTCTCCGTTCACATGTCCCGACATGTCTTCCCTCCTCCGCTGTCTGCCGCGCTGGGGGAGTGGAGTGACGTTTAGCCCCCTCACCCGGTAGCGGCTGTTGACTGTGGCGCCGCGCGCGGAGTCTCCCGTGAGGTTTTGCGCGCGTGCGTCGGGAGCAAGAGAGAGACCTCTCCGGGGACGACATGGGGGTGAGCACGCTTTTCTTTTCCGTCCGTCAGCTCCCTGTGGGGCTCGTTCAGATTTCGCCAACAGCGCCTTGCGCCCGCGGCGAACGCTTACCTTATGTCGCCCCCCTCCCCCTTCCGAACGCTAGGCCGAAGGGTGGTACGGTGTCCTAGTGCGTGGCCTAGCTACGCCGACCCGTCTCCCTCCGAAGCCAACGCGAGCGCATTTGCCCTCGCTCGAGCAACCGGGCCGTGGTCCCGGTGTCTCCGTAGACGTGCTCGTGGCACCCTGTGTAGTACTTTTATGCCCGTGGCGTGGATAAGCCTAGTTGCTTTCCCGCCGCGCCTTTGCAACGGGCTGTACTGCGTTTTGGTTTCGCCACAGACAATAAAGTGTTGCGACCTTGAGCAGTACTGTGTTCTCGCCATGGCGACGGTTAACGCGTGCCCTGTGACTCGCTAAGACCGGACCCACGCTAGTGGCCGTACTCCTTCAAGATGCGTGTCACTACAAGCACAATTAATGTTCACTACGTTACCCTAAGATTCGCATCCTTTATTATTATGAGGACACCTGGCCGCACAGTTAGTTGTGCTTTGTTGTTGAATATTCACGAATATTCATGAAAAAACTACCCTGATCACTAAAGTCTCGTGCGAACATATTTGCCTAACTGAAAATAAAAGAGCAACTGAGCAACCATGGTAAGCTGTGCGCCTTCATTAAATTTACCTTGTTCAAAATGAATATTGGCAACAAGGCAATAGCAATATTGGTGGGTGTGCTTATAATAAATGCTACAGCGTGGCGGGCCCCCAATGCAGCCGTCAGAATTGGTGCACCCAAAAGGCAACAATTACTCACGACAAGAATACTAAATCTATAAAAAAACATCACTGTACTGAAAAAAATGGAGTAAACGTGGCAGAAAATGACATAAAATATGCCAGTCCGTGCATGCGAAATGTGCCGGAACTTTCAGATTTTTTTTGTTGTTATCAACTAATATTAGTGAGCACAGCAGTTGATTTTCGGAAGCTCATTGAATCAGTGTACCTTACTTTGCGTGGTTAAAACAGTTTTCTTTAGTTTAAAAGACAAAACGAAAGCCTTACGCTTTATTTTTGGAGACACATCAGTAGACGTTGATCTCACTGACAGTGAAATCAACTGAGAAGATTGTCGTCAGTAAGGTGAACTACCTCTTGTCTTCTGCGTGCCCCTTTCAAAATAATATATGACGCTTGCGTCGTTGAAACTATCCTGTTCCCACTGCATGTAATGACTTTTTCTTGCTTCTGATTAGTTCTCAAACCTAAATATACGCAGACGATGCAGCACCGTTATTTCTTGGCGATAACATTACAACGCCAGTAACTACTGCCAATATAGAACTGAACAGTGTTCTGTCACGCTTTTGGAAAACTATGAGTTGGCAGTCAATGTCTATAAAACGACTTACGTGGCTGTTTCTCTCGAAATAAGTAAATAATTACAGCCTATGTGTTTACCTTAACACGCAACTCCGTTCAATTTTGCTTAAATATTTAAGGGTGACATAACATTTGATCTAGATATTCACTGGAAAATGCATATAAACGATACGTTCCCAAGACAGGGATCTGAAAACACGTGGCACGTGGACCCAAGTGGCCCGGCCGGCACATGACCGTTTTAGTCCCCCATTTTATTCTTTTTCTTTTTTCGCAATGAGGTTCTTCATGAGGTACCCAAATGTTTCTGGTCTCAAGCACTCGTTTCATGATGCACACCATGCGGTCACCTTGGGTTTAAATCTAATCCTAAAACGAAAACTATATTGCTGAATGGGCATCTAAATTTAACTCATTTGAGAGCATTCTGGAGATCAGTATCGATGTGTGTCTCTAATCTTGATATTAAATACCCTTCAGAAATGGCATGCATATGAGACATGGGAAGGAATATATTTCAAATGGTAACTTTAGCTGGCATTTTGTTGAAAATCCTGCACCCCTCTCCATTTCTCCTCCCCGCTCTTATCTTCCCTGTCTCGAACCTTGCGGAGACATTTCGTGACCACGGCCCGCTAGCTGAGGTGAGTGGGAACTCTGCTCTAAGCTAACGTATACAGTGATGACCCATTGTATGAAAGCGCACGAATGGGTTGATGCATTTTGCCAACATCCCCTTTTCTAAAAATAATGTCTGGGGTTTAACGTCCCGAAACCACGATATGATAATGATACACGCCGTAGTGGAGGGCCCCGGGAACTTTGACCACCCGAGGTTCGTTACCTTGCCCTAAATATAAATACACGGGCCTCCAGTATTTTCGCTTCCGTCTATAATGCAGCCGCCGCAGCCGGGATTCAAATCCGCGACCTTCGGCTTAGCAGTCGAGTGCCATGACCACTAGACCACAGCGGCGGGGCAACATCCTCTTCTCTAGGAAGTGCGTTTTATGCTCGTTGGGATGGTTCCAGAAGTTCAACTCGATTTCGGTATTTCCGTGATGACGGAAGGTCATAGCGGCAATCCTAACCCTATTTTACATACTCTCTACATCGCATTTACATAGTACAACTTGCATCATTGCATCAAGTTTTTGGACACTAAAATACTATCTCTTTAATAACAATGACTTCTTTACGGGAACGGGCAGTAAGATTTTATGCTTTAGATTAGGAACATCATAGTAACCACCCGCTATTTCAGTATAGTCCCACACTTTTGCTGGACTCTATGTACACTTAAAAACTGCCAAGCTGATATATTAAACAATCGTGGATAAGGAACCACTACCCACACGTGCGTTTAAGCGACCAGCCCATAGCATGATACAGATTGTACGCGCAAGTCTGGCTTGTGCCAGAATTGCAAACAGAAGCGAGTGAATGAGTGAGTGAGTGAAACAACTTTAGTTGGTCCACAATTGACGCGATTAAATGAACAAAATATATTCTTAGCATTTCTTGGGTCTATTATCTAGAATTGTGTGTACCTACTAACCAAAAGATTAGGAGAAATTTAAATTTTCGTTCGGGAAAAGTTCTATTACATTGTTTGTTACAGCCTCGTTTGTGAAAGCCCATCACAGGCTCACCAATGAGTATTCGCAAGTTCACATTTTTTTGTGGTGAACTTTCGCGCAATAAGATACTTATAAAGTCATGTTTCGATCCGCGAAGTCGCACTAGCATCTGCGTTTATGAGCTTAATCAAAAGATGTACGTGAACGTTTCTAATACCGCGAATAAACTGCCAATGTAGCTACGGTGCAAACAAGTTCACCACGCAATCGAGGAACGTAGATGTGTAGGCTCAACTAAGCACACACTTTCGCTGCACTGGAAATCAAGCATATAGTTTTGCAGAAGCGTTGATGATAATTTCTTTGAAGAAATGCAAAAAAATAGCAATGTATGTAGTTCGTATATTCCGTATGTCAGCGCTGGTTATTTTCCGTGTGTGTGGTCCTTTCTTAACTATCATTACTTTTACTTGACTATTGAATGCCGCTTTTTCTGGGCTAATATATACATCACTGATTTATAAAAAGAGGGCTCACCGCGCTTGCACTGCATGCACAAGGACGTCCCTTCCGCACTGCCAAGCATTTCTTACGCAAACGGAGCTACAAATGAACACTGAGAGCGATTTCTGCAGCAGTAATGATGCTCTCAAGAATCATAAAGCCAGAATGCTCGTCAGCGGTTTTTGAAACCTTCGATAGCAGTAGTAAACGCCACAACTCACGATGCAGCGGCGCTCATTGGCCCACACTTGTTGTTTTCTTTTTTTTTTACAGCTAACGTGCGAGGCTCGCTCCGAGAAGATGAAACACAAGAAAAAGTGAAATGAAAGGAAAAAAAGTGGAACCAATAATGGAGACCTCTGGTTCGGGCCGTCCAACAATGACGCATTCCAGCGTGATGAGATCCGGTCCGGGCTTGACTTCCAGGTCCTCCAAGGCCTTGAGCACTCGTGGAGGCTCCGGCGGCGAGGCATCCCTGCGCCATTACGTAAGCGTATATACTCAGGGCCTTGCGGAGGGCAACGCTGGAATCTCGTAACCATAGCAAAAAAAAAAAGAAGAAGAAGAAACTGAGAGAGCGCGCATGGCGCTTCGGCGAGTGCTCACTCGGCCACTTTCACTTGGCAGGAGCAGGCAGTCTCGCCGGCCTTGTTTTTGGCGACGGCAGTGTAGGTGCCAGAGTCGTTCTCGGTTGCGCCAGCGAGCACCAGCCGTGCTCTTCCTTGCTCCTGGGTGGGCTGCGTGAAATAGGAAACGAGAACAGTCGGTGGAACAGAAGGCGGCCGCCCCAACACGCACCTTCGCGGCGTCCCGGACTGGCAGCAGGTCCTTGGACCAAGAGACGCGTGGCTCGGGCCTGCCCTGGACGGTGCACTCGAGGCGCAACTCTTCGCCAGGCCGCAACTGCGCAATGGCGGGAAGCGGATGCACGAATGTTGGCTCCGTCAGCACCCCGCCGGCTGTCTGCGTAGTGTGTTCTTCCAGGGCTTCGATGAACACTTCTTCCAGGGCGCTTTCGCGTGCTTGTTCTGCGAAACAAGATCCAAGCGTTTTCGGGAGACAGCAAAATGACCATCTGATCTTACCAGTTAACATCATCACTCAAGACCGTGACATTGGGTGTTATTTGTAGTTGTGCTTGATTGATGTGCGAGGTAATACTGCTAACTAAAGAGTTTAAGCCTGTTTTGTGAAGTAATAGATAAATAGAAAGAAAAACTAGAAAGAAAGAAGCTCACGGCTCCCTATATAGTGGCGCTATGTAGCAAAGAATAAATATATTTTGATTATTTTGATACCGTCCCTATTGGTGATGCTGCTACTCTTTGTCAGGCACGGGTGGGAAGGAAGGTGGAGTGGATAGGGTGGATGAAGCACGTGTGAGTGGTCTATAGGGCAAGCGAAGCTTATTTTTTCACTCTCGCTGAAGTCACGCCACTGATGACGCAACTGCGGCACTCCATGATGTTACAGATCGCAGTTTTATATTCGCAAGAGAAGTGTTTTTTTTTCGGTAAAATTTTTTTAACAAGTGTTGTTTGGTTGAAGATTATCTTAATACAAATCACCAAGTGAAAGTGTTTATGCGTGATGGATGGTCGCAGACCTGTTCTTTCTAATATAGTTGATGTTAAAAAACACATTTCGGGACGATACACTACAGCCTGCTGTGGAGTATTTCGAATTTTTTGTAAGACTTCAAAAATAAATGAAATTTTATTTTGTTACGATGGATGAACTAGCTTTATATTCATCACTACCACAGTTTCAGCGAGATATGGTAGATTAATATGGGAGGTATAACGTCCGAAAACCGCCATATCTGACGAGCCTTTTTTTTGCACTGGAGTAATAGTAGCGGCGTTACAAAAAGATAATATATCGACAAAGCCAGACTTATCGCATAGTTGTATATCGTGCCACTTTTGACTGTGGGCCTGTCATTTAAGAGCCCCTTAAGTAATGTTGTTTGTAACACACACACACACACACACACACACACACACACACACACACACACACACACACACACACACACACACACACACACATATATATATATATATATATATATATATATATATATATATATATATATATATATATATATATATATAATATATATATATATATATATATATATATATATATATATATATATATAAGAGGCGGGACACAACTTGCCTTAATTTTATTTCCAAAGGTTTCGACCAGTCCACCAGTCGAAACCGTTGAAAATGAACTTCCCAATTACGTTTCCCAATTACGCTCGCTTCCCAATTACGTTTGGCCCATCGAAAAAAATTCTTCAGTATATATATATATATATATATATATATATATATATATATATATATATATATATATATATATATATATATATATATATATATATATATATAAGAGACGGGACACAACTTTGCAGTTGCCTTAATTTTATTTCCAAAGGTTTCGACCAGTCCACCAGTCGAAACCGTTGAAAATGAACTTCCGAATTACGTTTCCCAATTACGCTCGCTTCCCAATTACGTTTGGCCCATCGAAAAAAATTCTTCAGTATATATATATATATATATATATATATATATATATATATATATATATATATAGATAAGGAAAGAAGTGTACACTTAAGAGCTCGTTTTCCCCTGTTTGACGCAATATTAATGAGATCTAACAGGCAATGTTGCCAAGGAAAGTATAGGGGAAATTATTTGACCATATTGTCATGTAAATGTGAAGAAAGAAAAGGGGTTGAAAAGATAACTTGCCGTGGGCGAAAACCAAACCTGCGACCTTCAAAAAACACGTTCGATGCTCTACCACTGAGCTACCACGGCGGCTATCCTCCCAGACACTTTATTTGGTTTATATTGGAATATAAACGTGAGAGTATCAGTCAGCGCCACCAGTAGCCATGGCAGCGAGTGTAGCACACTTTTTATGAGCCTGTTTGGCGTCACGTAGCACGTGAACTTATTACGAGCTGGCAGCTGACGAATAGTCCCTCGTATACAACCTAAAGGCACCAAGGCTGCCAGTACGAGACCCTCGTTAATGAATAAGGGAAAGAAGTGTAAATAAATGAATAAGTAATGAATTGTAATGTCAATGCATATAAAATGTAAATGATGAAAGTGTAATGTATATTGTTATGTAAATTTGCATTACAATTTGTTTTAATAATTTCCCCTGTACTTTCCTTGGCATTATTGTCTGTTAGATCCCATTATTATTGTGTCGAACACGGGAAAATGAGCCCTTAACACTTCATTCCTTATTCATTAACGAGGATCTCGTACTGGCAGACTTGATGTCTTTAGGTTGTATACGAGAGACTATTAGTCAGCTGCCAGCTTGTAATAGGTTCACGTGCTACGTGACGCCAAAAAGTCTCACAAAGAGCGTGCCACACTCTTTATAAAGTCTCATAAACAGTCTCATAAAGAGTGTGCCACACTGGTGGCGCTGAGTGACACTTCCGCGTCTAAGTTCACATATATACCCTATAAAGTGGCTGGGGGGATAGCCACCGTGGTAGCTCAGTGGCAGAGCATCGAACGCATTATTCGAAGGTCGCAGGTTTGGTTTTTGCCCATGGCAAGTTATGTTTTCAACCATTTTTCTTTCTTCATATTCACATTACAATTTGGTCTAATAATTTCTCCTATACTATCCTTGGCATTATTGTCTCTTAGATCTCAATATATATATATATATATATATATATATATATATATATATATATATATATATATATATATATATATATATATATATATATATATATATATATATATATATAAGTTTTATTGTCATTGTTGTCTTGGTACTCGTACTGAAAGGTAATGATAAGCATATAATGGGAAACTTCCACTCCGCTGATATTAACTTTTGACCGAGGTTCGCGACCGGCTGCTCTGGCGATAACGTGCACTGAAGGTCACTTCCGTGCACGTTATCGCCGTGCGCAGAAGCGGCAGGCAATAACGACACGTCGAAAGGCATAGCACATGAGCGCAATCATCACATTCAACTCCAGCGTTGTAAGATAGCGAACTCAATTGAAAATGATTCATTTTGCTATATCAGTAAATACGCATGACCGCCTGCAACATTTGCTTGCCAAGGAAAGAGAAACCAGTCAGTTCATAAAACGATAGAAATGTCGCCAATATTTCAGAAAAGCATAAAGGTACAGAGCAGATCGACATACCCACGTCATATGCAGGCTTCTTTCGCAGCATCATGTTATGCTCTCGTGTTGTTCAAATTTTTTTTGTTTCTTGTGTGTTTTCATGGTGCGATGAATTCACCAGCAATTTGTATTCATTCGGAGAGTAAGAGTTGTAGGGCATGGTTGTGAGGTTTGGCTACTTTGTTCCACAACTACTTTTTTTGTAGGTTAGTGGTGGCAGAAAAAAAAACAACTTCGCTTATTATTGGCTACGCTTCATTTTATTGCTATTCCCTTCATTTAAACCAAAATATTGTATTACTTGGCATCGCAGCTCCTGGTGTCATGTACGCGGCGTCAAAACAAGGCGGCTGAGGCGTGTTTCAAGTTAAAAAATAATAATTAGACACTCGCATGGCGCACAAGAAAATGCTTTTCTAGACACGGCTTGTACTAGTGGAAAAGCTGTTGTATGAGATTCCACTACGCAGATCAGTGACCACCTACTGATGAACACGACTTTAAACCGTAACCGGACGGCAATCAAAAGCGCTCCGCACGCAGGACGCTCTGCGCACATCAATATTAGAAAATCTGATATGGGAAGAATTGTTTGTGTTATTTCTTAAGATTAGGTACATACAGTGACTCGGAAATATTAACTGCCCAAACTTCATCCCTCCGCGAGAAGTGATTGTGAAAGTGCATACAATTTATGCCTCAATCACAGCAACTGTGGTTTTGTGCACGCTCATCCAGTACAAATCTTTATTATCGCCATAAGGTTAGCGCTTCTTGTCGTTATTTGAAGAGACAAGCAAGGTGCGTGAAGAGAGAGTAATTTCTGCAACAGCACAAAAAGCTTCATCAAATGAGTTCGAAAGCCAACAATTCATGCTTTATCATCTCAGCAATTACGATTTGGATGCTTTTTGCAACACTTGCTCACGCTTCCATCACCTGCCATGGTGGTCTAGTAGATGTGGTGCTGAATTGCTGATTCGAAGGTCGCGGGATCGAATACCGGCCACGGCAGCCGCGTTTAGATGGAGTGAAAATGATAGACGCCCGCATGTTCAGCTTTAGGCGCTACACCATGTGGTCGAAATTTTCCAGCTCTCCCGTAAGGCATCTTTCATAATCATATCGTGATGTTGGAAATCAGATGCTCAATATTTATTGCAATAAACGAAAGGAGCTGAGGACCAATCGTGATGTAGGACATGCTGCTGGCGCACGGTCAGTGACAACTAGTCTCCGGGATTACAGGTTGCAGTGACAGCGCTTTTCGTTCATACACATAATTTATCATTGATCGCTTATTCTCAGCAGCTCCACCATGGTGGTCAAGTGGATAAGGTACACGGCTGCTGACCCGCAGGTCGCGGGATCGAATCCTGGCTGCGGCGGCTGCATTTTCGATGGAGGCGGAAATGTAGTCACATGTGCTCTGATTTGGGTGAACGATAAAGAACCCCGGGTGGTCGAAATTTCCGGAGCCCTCCACTTCGGCGTCTCTCATAATCATATGGTGGTTTTGGGACGTTAAACCACACATATCAATCAATCAATCAACAGCCGCTCTTATTCGAAAATAGCATATCTCATGGCTGGAATAACTCGTTCGATGCTGGTAGCTCAGTGGTAGAGCATCGAACGCGTTATTCGAAGGTCGCACGTTTGGTTGCTGCCAACGGCAAGTTAGCTTTTCACCCACTTTTCTTTCTTCACATGTACATTGCGATTGGGTCTAATAAGTTACCCTATACATTCCTTGGCATTATTGGCTGTTAGAACTCACTAGTATTGTGTGAAAACATGTAAAAACGAGCCCTTAAGTGTACAATTCTTTCCATATATATATATATATATATATATATATATATATATATATATATATATATATATATATATATATATATATATATATATATATATTATAAAGGAGATTTATTAAGCAGAAAGGTTGGTGCTTGGAAGGCTTGGAAGGCGATGCACCAGCCGCAATTTCCGAGCTCGAGCCGCTGCTGCACACTCGATGCTGCTGCCTCTGCGCCGGAGTACTTCCTCTTCATTACAATATATATATATATATATATATATATATATATATATATATATATATATATATATATATATATATATATATATATATATATATATATATATATATATATATATATATTGCATCTTGCAAGGTTCAAGATGTTGTGCCAACACCGGAGCGGCAAGAGTGCGACACGAGGCGCTGTTTTTCCCGAGCACGCTGATATGCAGATCCAAAAGCGCAGGTGCCTGACGAAAAGCACCCCAATAAAAAGCTTTTTCTGGGCAACTGCGAGAAAGATACGGATGCTCGAAACTTCAGTGGGAAAAAAGAGAGAGAGAAAGAAAGCATGTGCACAGCCACATCTGCCAATAAGGAATGAACGAGCGTTTCTTTAAGATATTGGCTTTAGGATGTGCCAACAACAAGATGTCGGCCTATCCCCCGCGCGTGTGCCTTGGAATGTGCTTAGCTACCTCACTATCAGCGTATACTCTTGAACAGCAGCGGCGCATGTCACGGTTTTGCTGCTGCGGGCCCTGGTCACTTGTGCTAATGTTTCTTCCGTTGCGTCTGCACCACATTGACAGCGTCATACCTCGGACGCTGAGGCGGCACGACGTTTCGGCCAGACCCGCAGCGTTAATAGCCTTGCAGCAAAACTTGGCTGAGTCATCGGCGAGGGTTTCTTCTATGGTCAGCTTTTGTTCTGTTGTACCGTCCTCAAGTGGCTGGCTTGTCGTGACGTAGTCTGAGTTGCCCCGAATCGAGACACCATCCTTGTACCACTGAACCTGCGACAGAAGATAGACCGAAAGCAAAGCGTTATGCCAATGATCACATTATTTGCAGCGAGTGTGAAGCAAGCGAACGAAGCACCTAAAAAAAAGAGTCTCCTCCGTCATATGAATTGGTAGAACACGAAAGTGAGTCATGCCTTTACAAGTGTAGTCTATTGTTTATAGTACACTGGTGGAAGATAATTTGTACAGTGTATACTGGTGATTGTCAGCTATAACACAATTGGAGGCGGATGCACCCACGTTAGCACCTAGCGCAACATCCCCATGCCGACGACTAACGTCCATAATTGGGGCTCTTCGATTTTCCACTCCAGATTACCCGCGGGCTGCCAGAGACAGCCTAAGCGCGCTCGTTTATTTCGAGTTGCTCCGTCCCCGCCGTGGCGCACTTCCGGTTGGCGTTCATTTTACAGTGAAAGCTGTTATTAGATCACGACAAGGGTCACGTGCGGTGCCGTAGTCGTCCGCCGCCGCCGCCGGTGGTCGTAACCACTATTGCACGAAATAAGAAAAAAAAAATGTAACACCAAAGACACAACGAAACTCGAACCTGGGTCCCCAGCGTACCAGCCTGGTATTATACGACTAAGTCACGCTGATAACTCGAGCACCTTTGCAAACTGGCCTTAGGCAGGCTTGATGGCGGGAAAGCAGTTGCGTAAGTATGAGTAATAAAGCTTTCTCGAGCAGCAAAGTAATAGAGAGGCGTCGCAGAATCTGGATTGCGCCACGAGTGGGTCGTGGAATGCTCCAACCCATTACAGATGCTTGATGTCGTTACCCGCAGGTCGCGGATGGAATCCCGGCTGCGGCAGCTGCATTTTCGATGGAGGCGAAAATGCTGAGGCCCGTGTGCTCAGATTAGAGTGCACGTTAAAGAACCCCAGATGGTCGAAATTTCTGGAGCCCACCACTACGGCGTCTCCAATAATAAAATGGTGGTTTCGGGACGTTAAACCCCACATATTAATCAATCAATGCTTGATGTCGTCCCCCAAATAACTGTGGCGCATACCAACTGTGGGCGAGTGCACAAGCTTCTGGCATGATTCTTCATCGTTGTCAGCCACAGCATAAAAAAATAGCACTAAATTCCTTGCATGTGTGATGCGGATGCCACGCTTCACTGAAGAATGACGAAGGGTGACACAGTGAATGCCTGCCTACTACACAAGGTGCATTTAGCGAAGACGATTGTGGTCGAACTAGCTCACTCCATCGCATGTTTGCGTGCGTGAACCTCTTAGAACTTGACCACGCGCTCTTCGATGGTGATAGATTGTCCTAGATGGCGACTGTTGTTTTTAAGTATGTGAGGCTCACTGGTCGCGAACGGCGTGCGAGCGTACTTCGATCTATGGGTCAGAATATGTTGTATAGTACTATGTTGCGCTACGATGCGAGAGAAAGAAAACAGAGATGACCACAGAAATGTATGCATCCTTTCGTTGCCTATTTGATCGTCGGCTTTGTCTTTTTTCACTTCTTAGTAATAATGCCGCGCAGCATGTACGGTTATGACTTAGTAGCTCAAATCAAAGCTGAGATACATCATATTTCGTAAGTGACACTTAGGACTGCAAAAGAGACTCAAGCAAGTGCCAAAACGAGTCAAAAACACGATCTGCAGGAGTTTATTTTAGATACGACACGCGCTTGTCACACCGATACCTACGCATGTCTAAACTTCAGACAAAAACGCAAGTTGGTCAACGCGTGCTTGCGATGTATACAACGTGATAGCTGAGCAAGTACCTATCCTCGAGCTCTATTCGGGACACGATCACTTTCGCGTAATTTCACGTCGTGTTGTCCAGTGGCTATTACATGTGCTACGAAGATATGAGCTTGTTAAGCCGGCAGCGTCGCGGCAGTTCACCTTGAAGTGTTCTCAAGGTGGCATGCGTCAGCTAGGTGTTCTCTTCACGGACGCGCGACTGATTGTGCGAGCGTGCGAAGTCATACCTCAAATGCGTACGCTCGAGAATATCATTTCAGCTCTTCGACAAACATACAACCCGCTCGCACTCGGTGCATTGTATCGTTTGCCGCCACGACGGCAGCGTTTGTTTACATTCACGCTGGCTGTCCCAGCGTTCCATTTTGCAATCGCAGGGCCACTTCGGGCCGTCTCGGGTTCCCCACACACGTGACCACGACGCTGTTTCCTGTCCCGACCGGAACTAGCTGGCTGACCCTCTGGCTATCTCTGACGGCCAGAGCGCTACCAAAGGTCTGAAAATCGAAGATCCCCATTGTGACTCAACATTTGTGGTAGTTAACACACACCTGGACACGACATATGCTGAATCCTACGCAAATATGACACCAGGAAGCACGCAATGAACACTCACACTCGATATGCATGATTCGAAACGTCGTCACCTGACGAGACCAACGCCACAGTGACTCCCCAGAAAAACCTACGCCTCCGCTCATGCATGCGCATACCACGGAGCGCTTCAGAAACTCGAGAGGCAGAGCACGTAGCTGGAGCCGTGAACGCTGAAAGGCGTTCTGATGGCGTCTCTCTCGCTGCATCAAAGCACTAACTGCGCGACATTCAGCTGTCGACGTCACTGCCTTTTTGCACTGTTCTTTCTTAGTTTTCTGTCTCCCCTTACCCTTTCCTCAGTACATGGTGGCCAAACTCTTCCAGTTAACTTCTCTGCCTTTCCAAATCACATCTCTATTGCAGTTGTATTATCAGTCGCTACTATCGCACTCGAAGCAGTAGGAAGGTCATTGGTGTATGTGGAAGCTGTGGTACTCTGTCAACAAGTCGTCCTTTTTGCACCATTCTTTCTTAGTTTTTGTCTCCCCTTACCCTTTCCTCACTGCATGGTGGCCAAACTCTTCGCGTTAACTTCTCTGCCTTGCCGCATCACATCTCTATAGCAGCAGTCTTATCAGTCGCTACTATCGCACTCTAAGCAGTAGGAAGGCCATTGGTATATGTGGAAGCTGTGGTACTCTGTCAACAAGTCGTCAAACTAGCACAGTTCAAATGCAAGGTGCTTACTGCGTAGTGACCGAATCGAATCATCGCGAACGGTGCATTGCACCGACCTAGAGTTTCCAGCAATAATGCATTTAAGACCTTTGTTGCACTGAAACTACCAAAGCTCCCTTTTGGCACTTGTTAGGTGCATCGTGCAGTGTCTCACTCTCTTTAGATGCGAAGAAGCTTAGGGTAGAGCTTGATCCGATGTACGGCGGGACCACCCCTACTTCACATGCGCGTTCACTCCTTCTCTCCTATGTTCCTCCCTCTCTCGCAACGCAACGCCAACGCAGGGAGCGCCTGCTAACCTACGCACGCTCCCCACTCTCTCTTCTCTAGGCATTCCTTCTCGCGGCGTTTACACCACCATTGCGCACGCGCGTCCCCTCCCTCTCTCACCTCGCAACTCCGACGTAGGTAGCTTCTGCTAGCGAGTTCCTTGATTAAAATACCGACTGTTCGCGCTGCACAATCGTTCACTGGCCACCCGTATATGTAGGCACTAGATCTTGAACCCCATTTAGTGCCGGTGGGACATTTCTGCTGTGCGTTGTCAAACAACAAAATAGCTGAATTTCCAGTTTTCTCTACTGCGCAACGCCGAGATGGGCGCCATCATCAATGTCACTACCAGTGTAAGCGTTAGCGCCCGCTGCTTCGCATCTAGACATGGTTCTCTTGAGCAGGAGATGGTGTAATTTGTTCATGTACGTTTTACAGGCGTCACTACGGTGACGTAAATGATGTCATTAGAGCCTTGATGGACTCGTGCAAAAAAAATCTTCTGTGTTAAAAGAGTAAGTGAATGCACGTGAGAAAAAATGAATTGGAAAATGAAACAACTGCAGCAATTCTTTACAGAGAAACAAATCACATTTCTACACTTGTGCGAAAATCATCAAACAAAAGAAAAGACATTCGCAGCTGAGTCGAACATTGAGTTAGATAATGTCCCTTATAACGTGATGAGTTTGATGAAAACTAAACAAGTTTTATTGAATGCGAGCCTGACGTACTACCCTCAATGAGCATGGGATGAGAGCTGACGAGACGAAACATTTTAATGCAGTTTAAAAAACAATGTTCGCCAGAAGACTCTTCAGGACTGTATATAACGGAAATGCAGAAGTAAACTAAGTATTTGTTCAAATGTCATTGATGGAGCAAAAGGTGAGTGTCAAAAAATTTTGATTTAGGCCTTTTTTTTTAGATCTAGCACTAACAAAAATTTCGCCGAAGACTATGCACTTCGTCAATGAGGCTTTTCCGACAGAAGCATGACAGGTTCTATTGAGAACAAAGTTGAAAAAAAAGCTGAAATCAAAAGTTCTCAATTATTAATAAAATTTTGCCAAAACAGGTGGAAAGTTTTAAGTAACAAATAAGATTACAAGTTATCGTTAAACAACGCAGTAAATTTGCCAAAGAGATGGCGATGGTGGCCGAGAAAGTGTGAGAGAACCCTTATAATGACACTGCGCATTATTTATTAAAAGACTGTGAAAAGTCACCCAGCTTATGAATTTATCTCATTAGCGGAAATTTATACTCATATTAAATTTGTAATCAGTGCTAAGTTTTTAGCCTATATTCATTCATTTTTATATGTCTTTTCACTCGAACAAGACAGGGAAATATGAGCCCTTAATGGCATGACTCTTGTTATTTACAACAGAGCTGTTATGCACAAGGTCTGCCTTTTGTCGTCGAAGAAAAATGATCATCATCATGAACGTGCTCCTCTCCGTCATTTGCTTCGATCCCAGAACGCGAGCGTCGATTCGTCTGGCGTGGTATGCAGTAATTTTGATGGGCGAGAAAACGAGTACCGAGAGAGAGAGAGAGAGAGAGAGAGAGAGAGAGAGCAAGAAAGACAAAAACTCTTGGCGAAAAAAAGTTTCTTGAGGAGATTTGAGCCTGCGAACCCGCGATTCATAAGCGAGCATCGTAACCACCTAACTATCAAGGCAAGCGTAGCCTCGTATTGCATAGCCTTGTATTGCAAGCATAGCCTTGTATTGTATAACACATCAATGTGGTGGGAAAGGATTTTGATTGTGAGGAGGGTTAAAGAACGAGTACCAAAGAGAGAAAGAAAGAGATCAAAAAAGAAAAAGGGAGAAATAGACAGAAAGAATGGGACAAAAGGGCGAAAAAGACGAGGACACATATAAATAAACAGAGACAAAAATAGATAAAAGAAACCCACAAATAAAGACAGAAAAAAAGGAGCAAGCACAGCCACATATAGTCTAGTACATATAGACCTTTTCACTCAAGGCTCCCTGGGCACCGCCAAAGCCCTATCTGGGCTGTTGTTAGTGAGCGTGACCCTCCAGAGAATGCACTGCCGAGGCTGTGACGTCGGCTTTGGTATTCTCGTGCAACGGCCCAGAAAGGAGTAAACCCTCTTCTTCGTAAGAAAATATAGATAGCAAAGAGTTAAAAAAGAAAGAGGCGAGTGGGTAAAGCCTAGACAAGCCAGGATCAGTTCGGTGCCCACCAGCTCTGCAGTGAATCAGCCTTGCGCGACTTATTGTAAGCTGCGCAATTTTTCTTTCTTTCTTTCTTTCTTTAACGTCACTTGAAAGAAACCATTTAGATGAAGCGCCTTTTACTTGAAGAAGTAATTCTCTAGGTTCATCCATTTGTTCAGAAAAAGTCAGAAGGATGCGATTTATAACCAAAGCCTACCATAATTCTAACTTCTTTTTTTTTTTTTTGCTACGCTCACCCAAAATCCCGTTTACGTAGTTACAGTTTCCACCGAGTTATTTTGACGAGATTTTTCAGAACTTCCAGCAAGTCCTATCAAACAATCTCAACATGATTAACTGTAATTTTTATAATATAATGAGGAAAGTCGTTCAATGTTCATTCCGCGTCATGGATTACCGTTGGAGGTGGATGCCCGGCAAGTACGCATACGAGGCTGCACTTTGCACCTTCTTGAACTTCCACGTCATCCAGGGGAACCACGAACGATGGTCCGCATACTTCTTTTACTTCCTGCATCCAGAACAAAAAAGGATGTGGTAGGATAAGGGTGTGTTGAGGTCCACCAGCTGAAAACGTTAAGTAAAGACGCTTTTGGGAAACGTTCGTTGTGCCTTTTATGCATACAGTACTACGTCGGGTCCAGCGTGAATGACGTTTAAATTAAAATAATCTTATATATATGATTGATTGAGCGAACATATTGAAGTATAAGGGAAGCGATAGTTTAAACACTTTACAACTAAAATGATACGCATAATTTCACTTATTCTCATAACATACAGCCTGAGGCAATGTTTTCGTTCATCTAACACAAAGATACAAATTCAATATAACGCGACGTTTATTTCTTGTCTAGTAGGTAAGAATAGTGATTAAAGGTGTGTGCAATATTGCTAACTAATAGGACCTAATGGAATGGCCCACCCACATCTAGGACTAGCACCTTCATTGTGTATGAGCCACCATTAACGAGGCAAAAAAATAATTACGAAAATTGCCCTAAGGCTCAAACAAACAAACAAACAAACAAACAAACAAACAAATTATGACGCGTACGGAACAATATTTCAGGTCTCTACACCTGTTGCTTCATAGTGGCGCAAGCTCTTTACAAACGCTTGGCTCAGAATGGGCGACACATACCAAAGTAAAATTGAGTGAATTGAAAATTGCTCTGACTGTAATAAACAATTCTGTTTAAGAGTCAATGTGCCTTGGAAATTGTTACATTGCATTATTTCTCGAGTTTTTATGACAGTACATTTTTATTTTTAACTGATATGCATTCTCACTTGCATTACATTGTCGGTCAGCATGCAAAACTTTGTATAGGGCTGTTCCTGTGCACTTTGATTTATAGTGAATATAAATTTCTAATGCGTATCTACTCATACACATATCAGCTTTCCCCGCGAAAGAACCATCAGTCACTTTAAAATCGAGTGAGTTGGCAATAGAACCTTTGCTTCTAAAACAAAATACTTACACGAGGAATAGAACGAAATATACAATGTATTATCATGATAGAAGTTTGTACGTATGTCGCAAGTAAACAGACTTTAAACTCATTTCTCAAATACAGTACTTAACATAATGCAGTATGCAGTAATAATTATCATATAATCACATAATGGCGCAGCATGCAAATGACAGAACATTGAAATATGTCCTGTAAATATCACTAGTCATATGAAATAAAAAATACATTATTATGAGCTATACTTACTATCGCTTGTGGGAGTTCATTCCCTTCTCTAGTTGTTTTAGAAAGAAGGAATTCGAAAACCTAGCAGATGTCAGGAAGCATCCTTTGGTTTTGTGTGTATGTTGGCGTTGTGCTGAGTGATACGTTGGTACTAACAGATAGTTTGAAACACTTTTTCTGAAAGTGTTTTTTGAAATAATTTTCCAACTATTTCGGCAGCGAAATTTATTGCATCATAAAACGTCGTAGCAAAAGTTTTACAAATGCATCAAGAACTGTAAGTTACATATTCTTCGTTAAATATTACCTAATTTACTTTCAAAGTAAGTGAGTAGTATCTTCTTGCTCTCACAACAATTTATTCCCCAGCCTCATTTATTTAAAAGTCGAAGAATTATCATTGAATACGGAAGACGAAGTGAAATGTGTGCTGCATTATTGCGGAGTACTATCTTTTTACACATTAAGGTACAAAAATGTCTCAGTACAATTAGCTGTAAGTGAATGTTCTTGAATACATGATATTGCTATTGTTTTTCAATGCTAGAGAATATGAAGTGTGCTTGTTTTAACCGTAGCCACCTCCACTCAGTTAAACTAAGAACTTTTTCGGCCTTCTCTGTGACACTGCTGTTTCATTTTCTTAATGAGTATTAGCAAAGAAAAAAAAACATCAGACCTTCCTTTCAATGAGCTGCAGCTGTGGTGGGGGCACCGCCATAGCTTCCTTGTGGAAATTTCTCCACCGAGACGTGAGTTCTTCGAGTTCCATCCGCGCACTATCGGTCTGCAGACGAGAGGACGTACTGAGAACCTCTATTCGTCGTTCCAGGGACTGCAAAAACAAAAAGAACGAATTTGTCGCTATTCAACAGCTTTCACGAAGTTTCTGGTATAGAGAGTACACTGCACCATGATAGTGCAGCTCTCCTGTTTTAGTTCTACCTCTTTGGCGCTTCCGCAGAGATCGGAAATGTGTACCGCATATTTTATCACTACAATATTGAGTGAAGAATAATAGGAAAAAAATTTGTACAATACTGGCACTGGATGGTCCCACACGAATGAAAAGTTGATCGCTTGTGGCTGTGAGATGTGTTCTTTGCCATCATGTCTTCTGAAGTGGTGGCTTCTTTCCCTACGTACAATTCTCTTTGTCCTTCATATATTGTGTTTAACGTTCTAAACAACAACAACAACAACAACAACAACAACAACAACAACAACAACAATAATAATAATAATAATAATAATAATAATAATAATAACAACAATAATAATAATAATAATAATAATAATGACAAGAAGAAGAAGAAATAAGAAAGCTCCTTCTCTCTGCCCCTTTACTTTTTCAGCTGTCTGCCTACTGCTCGAACGCACACATTCTTTTATTACTCCCTTTTCTAATGAGCTGGCAGATATGCATCCATTTACACCGCCTATGAAGAATCTATAGAAAGCGACAAAGACTAACACATTCTTGGGAAATCAGGGTCAACCTTCGCTAACACGCTCATTGCAGTTTGAGCACCTTGCCTACCCACACAGTTAAAGCGCAGCGTAAACACCTTAGATATTGCGACGCGCGCTCCTTTTTTCTGGATAGCCGGCCTTTTGTACATGTAGCCGCTGCCTTTCAAAAACAACTGCCAAACGGCTAGGATCCTCCTAGATTAGTATAGAACATTCCGATGAGATTATGCGCACAACGCGAACATTAGAGTTTATTATGGAACTCACGCGGCCACCAGCGATAATGCTGTAATCTATGTTGGCATATGTATAAAGATTAATGCGCTTTACCGCTTCGCTGATTACTCGATGACTAACGACTGTTCTCGCAACTATCAGTGTACAGCGTCAATCACTTCTACTTGGACTTTTCATTTACCGGGCACAAGTTTGCCCGAACAAACTGCTGTATTTTTTCCAGTCTTGCTGCAGCCTTCTTCCCCATCACAACCAAGGGACTATATAATTCGTTCACACAATTATTCACCTCTAGGACACAAAGCTTTGGACGATATACAAGCTATACTAAACTATATTGGTCACAAGCTTGGTTCTGAGTGTTTCAGTGCACTTCAATCTACAAGAACTGAAACCAGGATTTAAATCATACGCTTAGCCAAAAGTTCTGTTAAAGCGTGCTCTATCTGTAAGGTAGTAATGCTAGCAGAAGAAGCCAACTTTAACGTAGACGCGGCACAAGAATCAAATGTTGCGAATACCGATATTGTATGACTTTGCCTGTATTGTTCCACAAAATCCATAATGTGCCAGAATAAAAATTAGTGTATAACAAAAGGAAAAAAACATTAACTACTTTCCGAGATATGAAGTTATATCAGGATAGGGGCTGGTATAGTTTTGTCGTAATATCCAGAATACTAACAAAAAAAAATAACATAGAAGCCACATGAAAGACTCTACACCAAACTTAACAAAACATAAAACAGTAAAAACTATAAGTCAAGTCAACTGTTTGTCATGAAGTATCTCTCTGCTCGACAAACAACAGTTCCACCACCTACTACAGTGCGCATGACATCAACACCAGTTCCAACACTGTGGATGAATATTCATGATACTTGGAGAACACTCTTACAGTGCAGCGACGTCAGCTTGACTATCACGCTATCATTTTCCAATTGAACATGGCGCCGCTCGCAGGCGAGTCCGTGCGCATTTGTTCCCTTTCGAACAAGTCATTTCTTTCCACCTGCTGCAGCATGAAAATTTCCCCTCTCGAAGACAACAAGGGCGCACGGGGCAGCATTCTCATGAAGCTCGTTTTGCTTACATCGAATATTACACCTAAAAATGGGCAGGATATTGTTACTTAGAATGCATGTCTGAAGATTTTTCTGCATTAACAAATCGATAAAAACAACGTATCCACATAGAAGTAAATGGTAACATTTCTCGCCGCAAATCCAACCAGGGGTACTTACTTGATCGCTGTGAATCGTACGTTGTAAGCGTGGTGAAATTGAATGCAGCCACATGATGATATAACCTTCAGTGTTTCGTGCGTGCTTGTGTGTGTGTGCGTGCGTGCGTGCGTGCGTGTGTGTGTGTGTGTGTGTGTGTGTGTGTGTGTGTGTGTCGATCCAAAGTCAAAACAGATTCTGAGTGAGAGAGGCAGATTACTGTGTTAGTCACCAGGGTACAATGAAATGCAGCCCAAAGGTGCATCATCAAAGCCTTTTCTCTGTCATTGGTCACGAAGCACGCAAGAGCACGACAACTTTCATGTGGCCGGCAAACGATCAGTGCCCTTTCCTGTTGCTCGTCAACCCACCCTTCTCCCTTTTCTCCGCTAGGGCCAGCTGCGGGAACGTGAACGGACCTTCACGGGAAGCGTCCTCAAGGTCAAGCCAAGTTCTTCGCCCAAAAACGTGACTGTGTGGCCATGTACAAAAGTTTGGTGGCGTGTGGAGCTTCTGTATGGGGATTTTCGTCCTTCCCAGCGTGTCATGAAATCTATGGTCCCGTCTTCATGGGTAGCGCGACAAATCATCGAGCATCACACAAGGTGTGTACAATTGTAGTGCGACAAGTCATTGAGCATCGCATTGGCTGAAAGAGTGGACAATGCACCCAGGGTTGGCGACGCTCCTTTTGTAAGCGAAAAACAAGTGTGTTTTTCAGAAAAAATTCTTCAGTTTCTTCTCGAGTTCTCTCGAACCATGTGTTTTCTCATACTTGATTACTTAGTCAACCTCTCCGTTGTTACGAACGCTGTGCAACCCACCTGCAGTAACGTGCATAACGTGCTACCACTAATTCAGTGCTCTGCCTTCTTTGCTGACGTCTTTCAAAGAGACACTCAACGCGTCTTTGACAGCCACTAGAGGCATCCGTCATAGACGCTGGACGCATCCAGCAGCGGGACGGCACCCTCCTCCTCGAGCGTGTCGGCGCTTATAAAAGGCCGGCTCATTTAGCGTCAGGTGCTTCCTCGTCCATGTTTTGTACATACGTTGTAAATTGAACGTTTTTTTTCCTCTGTCTGCCTTTTGCAATGCCATTGGCTGGATACTCCCTGACAGGCGTTTAGCCTCGCGACAAGCTACCCAAGAAACCATTGGGCCTCTCATAACAACTGAATGGCGCCAGTGGGATTTCGTGAACCTTGCCACGGAGCCCGTGATGGCAGCTACGTGAGTGTCGGACTTTTCCTTTTTGAGATTTGCCAGACTTTGAAGGATAGCTCTGAAGTTTGAAGCTGACAGGTTTTGTTTATCAATATTCAGTCCTTTTGCGTGATCGCACTTGCTGAGATTTGATGAAAAATAGATTGGGAGAAGAGTTCACTGTTTTGGTCATGGATCTCAATTCTCTACGCAAACCTGATCTGTTAATGCTATGCGCAAAATTTATTGATTGATTTGCGGGGTTTAACGTCTCAAAACCACCATATGATAATGAGAGACGCCGTAGTGGAGGGCTTCGAAAATTTCGACCACCTGGGGTTCTTTAACGTGCACCCAAATCTGAGCACACGGGCCTTCAACACTTCCGCCTCCATCAGAAATGCAGCCACCGCAGCCGGGACTCGATCCAGCGACCTGAGGGTCAGCAGCCTGCTATGCGCGAAATCGGGAGCGGACTTGGGGAACGTCGTACTGAGGCCGCACATCATTTAGGCATCACTTGCCTCAGAAGTATATGGCAGCCAGCTCCAAGAATCCTGAGAAATTGGTAAAAAGTGCCACGCAAATAAGGGAAAAAGCCAGGCTGAAGAAAAAGAGCGTCAGGCGATCGACAAAACTAGGCGTGCCGATGAGAAATGGAGGCTATTTCTTGAGTTAGAATTAATGTAGTTAGAGCTGAAATTGCCAAAAGTGAAGGACGGACGCACGACGCGTTTCCGACGCGAGGCGTGGACAGATTGGCAAAGCTTTCCAAACTTAAATAGAACGAGAAAGGTCCATATCCGGAGGAGGATTTCGAGCAGATGCTACTTGGCTTTCCTGCTAAAGATACGAAAAACAAGTGGTTTGAAGCGCAGAAGCCGATTGCATGCTGTAAGTGCCTTCAACCGGGACATTTTGCCTCTGGTTGCCGAAATGAGCATATTGTATGATTGATTGATATGTGGGGTTCAACATCACCAAACCACTATAGGATTATAAAGGACGCCGTAGTGGAGGGCTCCGGAAATTTCGACCACCTGGGGTTCTTTAACGTGCACCCAAATCTAAGCACATGGGCCTACAACATTTTCTCAGCGAATCTTATGTTGTTTTGCCCGTATCGAGAAAGGTGAGGCGTCGTCATTGACTCAAAAATAAAAAGAAAAATTTTGAGGCAAAACCATTCTTCACTTCTTCCTTGCATTTCAGCCATTCAATAGCTCAGGTCGCTGCTTCAAATAACAAGATTGCCTGAATATATTTCGAACTCCATCTGGAAGTTCTTTAAAATTGTAATTAGTAAAAAAAACACATTTCTTAGAACTTTGAGAATGGACATTTTGACCAATGCGCTGGGCAGTGAATTTTCGTCCCTCTCGCCTGCCAACATTATTAGATGTTTGAAGGTGAGCCTGACAGGTTTTAGGGCCAATTGTCTAGCGCTTGCGGACTACTTTAACTGAGGAATATCCTGTAAAGCTATCATTAATGTTGCATTTCTGTTGAAAGTGAACCTGGAGGCCAGAATCGTTTGGTGTTCTCACAGGCGACAAGAAAAGGGTAGCCAGCCATACAGCTGTGTGTGTTAACGGGTGCTGCTGTGTTGCCTTATCATAGCGCAGTTTCGGGGACGATCATGTTTCATGGAAAAGATACAAAACGTCGTAGGGCAAACAACCACCCCTACGACGTATTTCAATGTAGCAAGACATAAGTTACAGTTTGTCAATTGTATTACCAACGTTGTGCACAGAGTACCGTTGAAATGTGGGAAAGTGTATACGTGGGCCAAACCGGGCGGTGCTTGAACAAAAGGCTTCGCGAACACCAGTATTATGTCACGATAGCCATTAGTGGTCATCTTGGTATTCACTGCAAGGAGTGTGGCTGCAGTCCTCTTTTTAGTATATGTGACGTGTGAGTCACTAACCGGAACCATCTAACGCGAGAAATTATCGAGACGCACAAGATTGATTGGTTAAAAGTTGGACGTCTAAGCTCTCCTTCGGTTTTATTATCAGACAAGGAAACTGTGTACCTATCTGCTGTTCAATAATGCTAGTCATTGTCGACACGTGCTCATGGCCTCTGCATCGGTGTCCCTTTTGTATCTTTTCTTTCTTCTTATTTTTTTCGTGTTCTTTTTCATGTTATTTATATAACTGACGAGGGCGGCTACGTAAACGTACATTTATTTACGTTCTTCACCGCAATAAAGCTTCAGTAGCCAGTCAGCGCTTCGTCTGTTGTGTGTGCGCCTCGGTTATCCTCTTCTTTCGTGCTGTTACCACTAGTTGCCCTTTTAACAACAGGTGTAAAGCAAAAAAACCTGCCGCCCGCAAAAGACTGTGGGCTAAGGCGCCCGTCTGCATCAACTTCCGGTTCAAGACGCCGTGCCGCCGCATTGGTATTCTATAGGCAGTGCCCTCGCTTTCTCTGTGTTCAACCCAGCAGTCGCAGTCTCGTTTTATACGCATTACTGCAGAATACCTTGGAGAGCTATGCATAGTAGTTCAATGCAGTCACTGTGGCTAAATATAAAGGTACGAGCGGTAATTTCTTCATGTATATATGTGGCATGCACTTCCGCACACATGCACGTTGTTTTGTAGCTACTGGAGCACATGTTTTCGGCCCCGCCGCGGTGGTCTAGTAACTAAGGTACTCGGCTGCTGACCCACAGGTCGCGGGATTGAATCCCGGCTGCGGCGGCTGAATTTCCGATGGAGGTGGATATGTTGTAGGCCCATGTGCTCAGATTGGGGTGCGAGTTAAAGAACCCCAGGTGATCAAAATTTCCGGAGCCCTCCACTAAGGCGTCTCTCATAATGTTATGGTGGTTTTGGCACGTTAAACCCTACATATCAACAAATCAGCACATGTTTTGTGAAATAAAAGTTTGCTGCACTATATATATCGTCATGAAATGTCCGTTTAATCTGCCTTCTTGTTGCGAACTTGTAAAATATTTATTCACTTTTTTGTTGCAAATACACCATCTCAGGTTCTAGATATACCGAATAGCACTACTAAAATATTTATTACTTTAAAAGTGAACAAAAAACTATGACAACTTTTTGTCGTTTATTTTACGCCTCTGAATCTACCTTTAGGCGAGATTTCCTGCCGCGGTGGTCTAGTGGTTATGTTGATCGACTGCTAACCCGAAGGTCGGGAGATCGTATCCCGGCTCTGGCAGCTGCATTTTCGATGGAGGCGGAGACGCTTCGGGTCCGTGTACTTCAATTTAGGGGCACGTTAAAGAACACCAGGTGGTCGAAATGTCCGGATCCTTCTACTACGGCGTCTCTCACAATCATATGGTGGTTTTGAGACGTTAAACTCCAGGTGATATTATAACTTTAGGTGATACGTCGTTCCTAGCTCACGTGTACGCTCAAAGGTTGTATTTCAGTGCGTGAGAAATTTTGCGCAATCGACATAAATTTGTCTTTGAGGGAGAGTGAAAATTTATTAGAAGGCAGTGAAGTCGTCCTGGGCTAATTTTCCCGTTTCAGAAAAAAGTATCGGCACCTCACGCTAGCAAGTCTCTAAAATACTATAGACGACGCCACACAATGCAGCTCGGGGCTTCAAAAGCAACGCGGATTGTTTTACGTCATAAAGTACCCAAAACTGAGCGGCTGTTTTGTTCCGTTGGCCTTTTACACGCTCAACAGTTTCCCTAAATTGAACAACAAATAGGGTATGCAATATATGCAATTGCAAAGATACTGCATCGGCGAACTTGGTCAGACAGAGTGCTTTTGTCGGATATCTTTGAGCGATTGCGAAACGTACATTTACATTTGGCAGAGCGTGCTCATATGTGTGTAATTCAAAGGCGGCCACCATTTGTTCTGCAAAACGCTATATTAAACTAACTCGACAACCATCTTGCGACAAGGACGAGAAAGGAAAGACGTACTACAGAGCGTTTTTTCGTCCTCGTTCATGTCGCGCTAGAATCATTCAAAGCAAAAGCACACCAACTCGCACAGTTGACGGTTATGATGATGATTCGGCAAAATAGTACTGCGTGTTTCGAACCATAACCGTATATCTACGCTCGCATGCTGCGTTCGAGACCCATCTCTCACCGTCTCCTGTGTTCTCAAATTTACACTTCTCGCTTCGCTCAACAAAATGCGAAATATCTTGTAATCAATTCACAGAAGAACCAGTAACAAACGCGTCCCAGAGGAGCACGTGTCTCCTCCCCGACTACAGTAAACAGTACACACCTTGAAACAACGAAGTGCTAGTCCTCGAACCGATAGCACCGTAGCGGACGACGCACTGTTTTGCTATCTAACTATTGAGAGAAATATGCCACTGGTTTGACAACACGACCCGATTTCGTCGACTGCCTTTGACTTGACGCGTTCCATTCTAAGCAATGAAATTCAGTGCGCGCTGAGGGCTGGCTTTTACGCATTGTTAGCACGTTCAAAAGGGGATGCTGTCAGAGCCAAGAAAGCTTCCTAGTTTCGCAAACCTCGGGCTATCCTGCATAGCATCCATGCTTTCGTGTTTGATGTCAGGACAATATGAAATGATCTGTGGGATGTCCCAACATAACTCAGTTGTAAAGCAGCTGTGTATGAATACTTTCATGCTCAACAGCTCATGTGCGCTACGTCACAACAATACGGTTGTGAGTCATGAAACCTTCGTATGATTACCTGTATGCGCTGCTGGAACTCGACGACATGGCACTTGGAAGAGTCCCGCTTCAGTGAATCGGTGAGCTCGCGCACCTGCTGATTGATCAGATGAAGCTCCTCGTTGAACTTGCTCATCTGCGAATCTTGGTGTGATTTGCGCAGACTGGCTGCCAGCAGCGCGCCCTGGTTGTCCACCAGTGAGTGGATTTTGTCGCGGTCCAGCACTGCCGCCTCGCTCGGTTCCTGTACATTCAATCAAGCAGTTGTCCCATTGTAGATCCAGCTGCGAGTAAGTATTGCCACTGTGGCACATGGCATATGTAACCACACAAGCGAGATAGATAAGTGTCGCGATGGAATGGCACTGAGGTCAACAAGGCTGAGCACCGGTTGGCTACCTTGTACTGGGAATTAGGACAGAATTATGAGGGAGTCCTGTTTCTCTCGGGGAGAGGACGAAAGCTCATACTTAGCACATACAAAGGCATACAAGAAGCGTTGGTGATCCAGTTCTTCGCGAGCGACCACACAGTTTGCCGAGTCTCAGAAAGCACCATGCATAACAAGGCCACAAGCGCCAAGGTCTTTTCAGCAAAAGGCTATAGTCTAGCATCTTGTGATGATTCACAGAGGAGGTATTTTATAGTTTCTTTCAAGTCACATGAACTGAAATTCCACTTTTTTTCTCGCTCCAGTAGAAGCGAATAAGCGCATGTCAGAAAAAAAACAAAAACAAAAAGCTCCCTGGCATTTAGCAGCATTTTATACCATTCGGTAAAGCCCGGCAATGGTTGCAATTTTATGTCTCAGTCTATAGCATATAGCGACCGTTTCACTTCCACATCATTAGATAGCTCTGTTCTCCGTTATACATTTTCAAAACAGCTGAAAGTGTCAATGCAGCTTTACACAGGGCCAACGAGTGTAAAATTGGCATTGTGCTTTGTGCTTGCTAAATCTAATTAAGCATCTTATTTCATAGAGTTTCCTAAATATACACTAGAGGGAACTCTGGCGCTAGTGTCAATGGGAGCTGCAACGCACAGCATTTTAGCGAGCTTGGGAACTATGGGTATGACATGGATTTTCCTAGTCTTCGTACTTTACGTTCGTTGTGGTTTTGCGTGGTTTAAAGCTGCTTTGTCTCAAAACAACAATCCGCAAATGTTCGGTGGCTACGCTCCACCACCTTAATTTTTCATGCTTGCTACTTCAAATTGGATCACGAAGTGAAAAACGGTTTGTTCTTTCATTGGAAACAAAACCAAAACACAGAAATAAGCGAAGCCAGAAGTGTGTTCACGCAAGCACGAAGGCAAATCTATGAACCCATAATTTCTATGGTCGCTGAACGATCGCAGTGCCACAGTACGCTCTGGTTAATTTCAGGAAACTCTTTTTTTCTCAGTCAGCGTGACTTAATGTCCTAAAAAATGCATGTTGTACTTACAGTTTTGTCGACTAACAATGCCAACATTTCCGCTCGTTGCTTAGCCTCCGCCAGTACAGCTTCGTGTTCATGGGTTTCTTGAAGTTTCTTCTCCAGCTGAAAAAGCCAGACCACCATGTAAGTAAAGCACAACTAGAATACTTACGATATTTGATAGAGCTCTCACCTGCGAAAAGTAGTCGAAAAAGCTTATCATGGCCCTGACCAAGTCTTGGTACTGAGAAATGTTTTTCTGAAAGCTCTGCTGAGTTGAACGCAGTTGTTGGACAAGGTGGTCCTTCCTTTGAAGCGTATACGTCGCTTCGATCCTGGCATCCAGCTCTGACTGTATTGTCTGGAATGTAAATGAAGTAATTTATGCTTTTAAAAACTGTAAACGTTAATCCGAATGAAACAAAGCTGCTTGTACAACTTTTTTAGCTCATCTAGTTAAGATAGCTACAGCGTTCCTGGGTGCTTTTGTCATATCTGTGCAGACGGTACCACGTTTAGGATTCCTGGCGCATAAGTCATAAATGGTGAGATTCGTGAATATTTAAAAATCAGTATTTATACGTCTAGTTTTGCTGTTTCAAGTGCATTCTTAACTGATTGCCAGTTACTTAACAGCTTGAGAATACACATCTGCTAATTTATTCAACTTACTTTTTAAATGCGAAGCGCTTCCGTACCAAAAGCACTTTGGGCGTTAAGATTATTATTTATTATTTACTCTTCTATACAACGTTTTTATATCTATGAAATAATTTTTTTGTTTCATTCATTCGTTTATTTCTATTCTAAAAATTTGGGAGAATGGCAGGGGTCAATAAAAAAGCTGCTAAGGGCAGCATGACGAGCTCTTGGCCCCCGTTCTCTATGGCGGCAGCAGTTGGCGTAGGAAGAAAAAGACGTGCTTACGTTCAGGATGCCCACAAAATTCAGGATGAACATCAACAATGATTAATAATTAGACCAGCAATAAAAAATTAGATTAGCAATTGGATCTATCTATCTATCTATCTATCTATCTATCTATCTATCTATCTATCTATCTATCTATCTATCTATCTATCTATCTATCTATCTATCTATCTATCTATCTATCTATCTATCTATCTATCTATCTATCTATCTATCTATCTATCTATCTATCTATCTATCTATCTATCTATCTATCTATCTATCTATCTATCTATCTATCTATCTATCTATCTATCTATCTATCTATCTATCTATCTATCTATCTATCTTCTTCAGCCCACCATGTGCACGCAGCTATTACACTTACAAAAACACGTCGACAAACTCCTTAACGCTTGGCGCAAAACCAAAAATGAACAGCTACTCGCTGACTACTTTGCATGAAACCACTTCTCGCAACAAATGGGATCTGCCTATTTTTTTTTAAGGCCCGGGCTGTCGTCGTATGCTGTCGTCGCTTGGCGTAACGCAGGCAAAACCACGTATAAAAATAGAAAAAAAGAGGAAGCAAGCGTGATATAGAAAGTTAAAAAAAGAAAGGGGAAAATATTATGAAAGCTAGACATAAAGAGAAAACAAGAATAGAAAAGCTACAAAAGAGAGAAAGAAAGAAAGCTAAAATCGAAGAGAAAAAAAGAAGGCTGAGCAGCTCCACGCCAACTACAGGCTTGGCACTACAAAGTGTTTCATGCCGGTGTTCAAAACGGCTCAGCTGACGTGCTTCTGTCACGGAAGTGACGTTGAAATAAGATATACTAATAGCTTGCAAAGAATAAATCCAGAAGGGAAGCATCTGTCGTGCGGAGTCGAACAAGCAATTCCTCAGTCTCAGCGCACGGCGCTACCCACTATCCCACAGAGCATACGTTGGCGCGAAGGCTAACGGCCTGCCATTTATATACACCATACACCGCTTGGCAGTCCTCAGAGCTTCGTAACTTTAGCGCGTTTTTATCAGTAGCGAGATGGCACGACGGGCTCACGTTGGGCGTGCTCTAACGGTCGTCGCCTCGACGAAGCGCCGCCTCCACGGAGTGTGGAACGTGACTTTGCAATTTGTCACTGTTGCTGAGACAATGCACAATAAACGTTCAACTACCGCCGTAAGGACACGTTTCACTTTTGTATTATACCGATTCCTTTATTAGCCACGTTTTTTTTCTTTTCTTTTTTTCTTTTGCATTTGTAAAAGCAACTTTAGCTTTCTGATGTTGTAAAAAGCTACTTTAAGGGTTTTAGTTGAAAATATTCTGGGTTTTATTTTTTTCTCCCCTGCTCACTTTTGAAAAGCGCTGGAACTCGCGTAGGTGGTACAACACTCTGTACGTACTAAACTTAATCAATAAATGACCTAAATGAAATTATTAAATTGTATAGACACAAAAAAACGCTTGAATGTTTATTATATGTGTCAAGTATCAGGGTTCGCACTGATAACTATTCATGACGATGTTCTTTTTCAAATGTTTCTAATGCCCCCTTTGATCCCTCATTCGACCTCTAGCACAGACTGCATTTGGTGGTCATCAAACCAATGTTGCAAAATATGTTTTCCTATCCTGGCTGCGGCGGCTGCATTTCCGATGGTGGCGGAAATGTTGTAGGCCCATGTGCTCAGATTTGGGTGCACGTTAAAGAACCCCCAGGGGGTCGACATTTCTGGAGCCCTTCACTACGGCGTCTCTCATAATCATATGGTGGTTTTAGAACGTTAAACCCCACAAATAAATCAATCAATCAAAATATGTTTTCCGGGAATTTCAGCGTGCTTGATCACACTTTGATCAACGCATGAGTATCGCCTCAAAAAATGAGTCACACATACCCTGACAAGAGGCATCAACGTGTCCAGATGTCGTCCCAGGTACTGCGCGATGGTTTCTGCACGATTCAGTTCTCGGGGTATGGCAGGGTACAGTTCTGACTCAATCTTCACTGCCGATTCCATAGTCTGCGTTCAAAAAATATTCTAAAGTTACGCAATGCTGAAGAACACAATCACAAACAAACTCATGATATGGACACCACCACCATCTGAAGATAGAGGGACGCATACGTACAAACTAGGCTAAAAAACCAGAAGCATAAACTTCAAGTTCTAAGTTAAAGCAAGGCACGCAACTCAGCCGCAGCGGAACAAGCGGCAATAGCTCTCACCACCAGCACATGTAAAAACGCCGCGGTGATCTTCACTAACTCGCAAGCCGCTTGCCGGAATTATGCAAAGGGCCGCGTCTCAGCCAATGCAATTAACATCCTGAAACGGCGAAGCTCTCCACTTCTATATACCTGCGTAGTCTGGCTTCCTGGACGCGAGGGTCTACAGGGGAATGAAGCGGCCCATGCCGCTGCCTGCTAGCACGTTAGCTGGGCTGCCATGGGACCAAAGGATACCAGATCCATGGCTGGAGAAATGGAGGTAGTAGAAAACACCTACTCGTCGCTACTTCAACACTAAAAACTCGAGCGATGAGTGTAACCTCCACCCTATCCAAAACTGACCAGCGAAAAAAGCGTGATCTTCAGACGGCTGCAAAGCAACACGTACATACATGGAATATTAATGCACCACCTCTACCCAACGACACATAGCTACGTGTGCCCGCTCTGCAGCATTCCGGACAGCCCCGCCGCGGTGGTCTAGTGGCTAAGGTACTCGGCTGCTGACCCGCAGGTCGCGGGTTCGATTCCCGGCTGCGGCGGCTGCATTTCCGATGGAGGCGGAAATGTTGTAGGCCCGTGTACTCAGATTTGGGTGCACGTTAAAGAACCCCAGGTGGTCAAAATTCCCGGAGCCCTCCACTACGGCGTCTCTCATAATCAAATGGTGGTTTTGGGACGTTAAACTCAACAAATCAATCAATCAAAATCAGCATTCCGGACACCCTGGCACACTTGCTCCTGAAATGCCAGTGCCGTGCAAACTACGACATACAACCGGAGCGGGGCCAAGCACCAAGAATGAACGACCACCAGCTAATTGAAACGTGGGAGGCCAAGCTCATCTTCGAGAACCTGGAAGATCAGCGACAACTCATCGTCAGGGCCAAGAGGGCAATCAAAGCCAGAGGGTTCGTGGACTAGGGAACCCTTCCACCTTAGGGTGATACCGGGCATCGCTCAGAACACTGTTTCAAAATAAACGTTTATCTCTCTCTCTCTCTCTCTCTAAGTTAAAGCAATAAAGGGCGATAAGAAAGTAGGAATTCATACTTCAGTGTGTATTTCGTTTATCATTAGGTACTGGCAAAGGGGCTTAGGTTCAAGCTTGTTGGAGTGGTTCTTACTTTTTGAGCGTCCTTGATCAGTTGCTCTGTGTTGCTGCCAGGATTGTTCTTCAGCTGATGGCACTGGTCCAGTGTTTCTTGAATGTGGCGCAAAGCTTTCGTGACATCTAAGCACGTGTCCTGAATCTTGGAACAAAAGGTATGAAAATGGCTTGTACTAGTCATAATTTAAGGAACACTTTGACATCACTCACTCTTTGGGCATCATGCAGAAAATTGTTTGCGTTGTGATCAAACTGCATAAAATTTTCGTTGATTGAAGCTTGGCGTTCAGGTCCGGCGTCGCTTATAGTCTTTAAATCTTCCATCAACTGAAAAGATACCACAGCAAGGTAAACGACGAGTTTCTTTACGCCTATATGTGTTTCTTATCTACCTGAGTAGACAGCTTGCAGCAGCTCAGGTATCGTTGGGCGATTCGAATGCGCTGCTCCAAGAGGTTGCGCAGATGCTGCCACAGCTGAAGAAGATCCTTGGACCTGGAGTCGTCCTGCGCTAGTAAAATCGTCAACTGTGGCTCTCTAGCTTGCAGCTCGTTCAGCATCTTCTGGTGTCTTTGCAGGAAGTCGTGAGCCGCTGCCGCTCCAGTCTCAAGCCGACTGTTACGCTCCAGGAACGTCTGTACGACTTCAATGCACCACTTGTACAGCTGCGCAAAGACACCCACTAAGCACGCCAAAGAACACTGGTTTCATGCGATGTCTAACGCTACTCACACTATTGCACTGCGTCAAGAAGCTAATCGTTCGCTCGCTGCTCTCCACGACGTCCGCCGCTTTTTGCTCGTACATCTGCCTCACTTGCAGGTGCCGGCATTGCAGTTCGTCGACCTGCGAATGGGTTTTCATGTCAGAAAGCATGTGCTTTCGCTCTTTGCGAATATGACCTTCTCTTGAACGCCGCCGGTGCCGACAGACAAGCGGGTCAGAATGCCATGACCGAGAGAAAGGGGTCTCTCGACGCACGCATCCAAAAGCGTGGTCGCTGCAGCCAAGTCTTGAACGGGACCTTGGGAAACTTGAATTTGGAGCTGGTCCAATTTGTTAAGCGCCTGCAAAAACAAACCAATTCAAGTTTTAGAACAACTAACAAAAATGAAAATGCGGGGACACGGAGAGCTCACCGTTTGAGCTTCGTTGAAGAATTCCACAGCCTCCTTGAGGTCCCTCTTCCGGGCCTCATCGCGTTCAATACGGCTTGTCACTCGTGCCATCAAGTCGAAGGCACGTGCTTCGACCTCAGCGTCTTGAATTTGCTTGGCAGACTTGAGCAGTTTGAGCATTCGATCTCGCAATTTCTCGTTCGCAGAGGCGATCCTTGTCGTGTGCTCGTGGAGAAGAATTTCGCTGCTCGCCGGGGAATCACCCAAGGCTGTATCTTTGGGGCTGTGCTCCAGTTGACGCTCCACCTAAAATTAGATTAGCGTTCGCCCTATGCTTTCCTGCAGGGAAGGCACCTACCTCATCAAGTTCCTTGTTCAGTAGCAAAGCTTTGAGCCGCTTCTCGAGCGCTTCTTTCCTTGCTTCGCACAGCAGTCCTAGCTTGCGTCTCTGGTCCTGGAGGTTTTCGTGCTGGCTCTCGAGGGCCGCTATTGCAGCCAGGGCGGCAGCCGGCTGCAAGGGCCGCGAGTCGCCTGTGTTGGCTACCTCCTTGAGTGTCTGCAGCAGGTTCTGGAATGGCTGGAGGCTCCGCTTAGACGCCTCGAGGATGGCTGAGTGAATGGAGCCTCCAGTAACTTTTGGGGCATAGCGGGCGAGTCCGTGCAGAAACTTCACAGAGCATTCGCTTACCTTTGCGCGCTTCATTCAGCTTTTGCAGGCGAGCTTCGCATGCAGCCACGTGGTCCGGCAACACGGTGTCCGAGAATTCTTGCTCGCCCTTAGCCAATTCATCTGATAGCTGCAAAAAGACGACAGCGCAAAAAACAAAGGGGGCCATTGGTTTCAGAAATATTTATGCTTTTTTATTCGCAGGGTTTGATTGAAGGCGCACATACTAAGATATGAACAAAATGACAACTGCGGCCGAATCCTTTGAAGACTAAGTTGATCCGCCTGGGAAAGGTACCAAGGAAGATAAACCACGATTCAAACAAACCACGAATAAATACCCGTATATAACTGGCTTCGGTTAAGCAGTGTGAAATTGGTGGGGTTAGAAAAATGAAGCGATGAATCCATAACAATCCTAATAACATTTTTGAGAAGACGCCAACTTGAACGCGCACATAGATTACGGGAATAAAACTGAACATGCCCTATGGTCAGCAAGGTGTAGGGAGGTTTTCACAAAAAGTTTCGCTTCAATAAGTGACAGTAAAGAGTATACCTCCACTTTAAACTACAGATTATTTTGGACTCACTTGCTTCGAGTGGCTGTATTTGCAAGATATTTCAGGGGCAATAGAACTCAAATATTCTTTGCCTCGTGCACTTAAATTATGCACCGGACACCCATTTTTTACAGAACATTTGCTACTATAATGAAGCTATTGCACTCGTGCATGTTGCGTGTTGCTCCATGCGTCCTGTCAGCATGTTTCCAGCAAAATGTACCAAAGGCTTCTGGCGTCATGCGTCAATGACGGCTATCCTTGCGCACCTTTTTGGCAGCGGCATGGTATTGAACTGCAGTGTCCAGCACGATACTTCGGTGCTCCAACTGTGCATTCAGGTTCTTCCAAGCCAGACCAAGGTTGTGTGCCATAGCTGAGTACACCTGGAGAGCAGAAAATGTGGGCCATCAAATCAGTTGTTTTATTTCTTTTTACCTCTGGCATGACAGACAGTTCTATTAAAAGGTTGATCAGGAAACGTTTCTTGACCATTCTTGCACCAGCAAGACGATACCCTAATTTGAGCGGACGTATAACACAGTTCCTTATGTGCTCGGTTGTACAAAGCTTCACATTGCCCTTTTCAAGCACGAAGCTTTTTAGGCTGTGCGTTATTTCCTTCTCCGTTTATACGTATGTAGCCACATCAAGCTTATGAATTGCTCAATGGATGGCGTTGTGTATACATATCCTTGAAAATAATATACCTAGATGGCGTTAGTGATTTTAGAGGCGAGACGAACGGATTTTACAGACGGACGGACGGACGGACGGACGGACGGACAGACAGACAGATGATTCGCGTTTTACCGATAAAACCTCCGAAGCTTCGCTCCACTTATCATTCACTCCGTGGATATGCTGTGATTTTTATGACTCTTACCACTTGTCAGCTCGAGAGCCTTATTCTTATAATCTGTGAGAAAAAGCGCACGATTTGAGAATCATGGCTTGTATTTGGAGCACAACCTCCACCATTCGTTGCCATTTCGAAGTGATTGAGGTCACAGTAAATAAAAAAAATTCTGATGTGGCATTATTGAAGTGAAGTCAGTGCTTGTGTCGTGCACTGACGTGTTTGCGTGTTCTTTTTTCGCTGATTGTGAGGAACTATTATTTACCACCCAGCTTTCTGTATGATGTAAAAGTGAGAGTGCGGTTAACTATAGGTTATGCCTGTATTCCTACCTCGTAAAATGAGGGAGCGGGAACAGGGCCGACAAAGCAAATTGAAACTGAGGAATACAGGTAAAAGAAGCGATGAACGGGCACACAAAATAACGTTGATTGTGCAATCACTACCGACCGCAGAGCTCAGTTGTCTTCAGAAAGTGAAGCAGTGCTCTTATGCCCCTAAACACAGAGGGCGGTGGAGGCCGTGTTTACATTTTTATTCCGATAGCAATTACATGAATACTCTCGGCGGGTTCTTGCCACCACCGTCACTTCCGTACATGTGTGTGTATGCATACATTAAATCCACAAATAAAAATAATTCAGAAGAAATTTTGTGAAGCGCACGACCCCGTATTCAAACCTTCGGTTCCTCACTGTCGTCAAACCTTCCCCAGGATACTAACGGCAGAATACAAACATACGTGGCATTAGGCGGAAGGCACAGGACGCCACACACGGTGAAATTAGAATTGTTCTGGACGCGCATCCGCTACACATTACCCACGCTGCGTTTGCGTCATATTGCTGGCGACCCACGCTAGCTTTCGATACTTATGTTGTCGCGCCGGTGGCCATTCGATCAGCAAAAAAGCAGAACGGCCCGTAGCTCTTGGTGACATGAGCTCGTGGGGACGCTTTGGCTTTTGCATGTTTATGAGATAGGAGGGAGAAAACGAGACGGCTGAACCGGAATCTTTAAACATATTCAATCAACGGGAGTGCAAGAGTCCGAGATCGGCTTGCGTTCGGCGCATGCCCCCTGGTGGTTCGCTAATTTCTTGATTCCCGTAATTCTTCGGGTTCCCAATTCTAAGGGCGCGTTCACACTGAGCATTCCGGCCGCCGAAAGTGTGCCGAATCCGATTTGGCAGCGGCCATATCGGCCGAAAGGGCCCTTTCCGCGCTGATCGCTCTCGGACCGATTTTTTCGGCGTGTGCCGCCGAATCGGTCGCTGTGGACCAATAGGAGTGCCAGTCGCGCAATTTTTGACAAATGGCAGTCAAGCCCTACTCGCTTGTCATGTCGCAGTGCACGTAACTGAATGTTGTAATTAACGGGAGTTTAACACTTTCTGTGCTTACTTCTCTGTGCCTACACTCTTCGCCGACCGAGCTTGTTGCGGTCTTGCAAAGGAAGACGAACCCACCAACGCCGTTGGCGTCGGAAGTTTTTTCCACTCTTCATGCATTAGAAGACAGCTACTTGCCTGAAAAGTAAGCAGTACTACTACTTCTTGCTTCCTGCGTGCGAGAATCACCGAAGACTAGACCACCAGACAGCCTAGTGGCGTTTCCGAGCCGCGACAACAACCGGGTGACAGCGCATCCATCCCGCGTTCGCCCTGGGGTATATAGATGGCATATACGGCGGCGTGGGGCGCGTCCAGTGTGAACGACACTGCGTTTCGGCGGCAGGAGGATTTCGGTCGCTGTAGAAAGTGGATGCTTCAGGGTGAACTAAGGGTAAAACGGTATAGTGATTCGCCGAATTTGGGATGTTGCTATCGCATTCATTGCTTCGCCCTTGCGGTAATACTGGGACTTTTTCTGCAGTGAGCGCTTTGTTGTCAAGTCAGTTAAACGCGGCATCTGATTGCCATTTTCACCGTTGAAACGAGGGCAGTATATGGTCAGACGTATACTGCAGTCTCGTCCCAATGACAAAATGTACGAATGCAATGGTAACCTCTCTGGCTGGAAAACATGTTGGCACAAGCAAGCCTCCTCTACAGCAGCCACTTAATTTGTGTGTGCGTGTGTGTGTGTGTGTGCGCGCGCGCGCGTGTGTGTGTGTGTGTGCGTGCGTGTGCGTGTGTGTTTGTTTGGGTGTGTTTCTTTCGTACTTATGTGCCCTCTGAGTCATTTATAAAAGAGTAGTCGCATCACAGTATTCGTGTTACACCATGGTATTGACATATTTTGTTTATTTTTGGAACGCGTTCTGTAATTTCATCTTTATATTTTTCACTTATTTTACGCGTTAATTCGGAAACAATAAATGTAGTAACATGTCATATGGTTTAGTATAGTATAGTACTCTTACCAACGAAAACACTTTACGCTACATTTGTTGTGAGAAAAAAGTCACAGCTTTGCCGCAAAGGCGAAGCAATGAACGGGATAGCAACAAATTGGAAGGTCACGCGCAGAGTGGCAAACAGATCGAAACGTGCCCCACGTTTCTCACGCACAAATAACGCACGGAACGTGCTCACAGGTACAGATGAACGCCAATAAGTGTCTGAGCTGTTACTTCGCTGTACCTGAAAAGCTCGCTCTTTTTGCAAATGGAGACTCTGCAACGATTTCACTGACCTTTGTGCGCCCGGTAACTACAACAGAATCGTTCCGACGAAACCCAAAGGCTAGCCAAGACGTACGATCCTCCGCACTGCAAAATAGGCTCGCGCGATGGAGCGTCCACCCTCTTATTCTCAACGCGGGGCAAAGTACGCGTGGGAGATGAGCGACTAAGTAACGACACTAGGGTTCCTCGATGCGCGCGCCCCCTTGAAGGGTAGAGCCATAGAGTTTCCTAAATTTAACTAGAGGGAACTCTGGCGCTGCGATTGTTCAGCGACCAAGGGAATGATGGGGAGTACACATATTTGCGTAGTCTTCGTACTTGCGGGCGGCGATTCGTACTTGCGGCTTCGTTTATTGCTGGTTACAGTTTTGTTTTGAAAGAAAGAACGAACCCTATAGAGCTTTGTGAGCCGATTCGAAACGGTAAGCCTAAAAGAATAAGGTTGTGAAGCGCAAACGCTGAACGTTTGCTGATTTTTTTTTTCGTGAAAAAACAGCTCCAAGCCACACGAACACATACAGAGCCAGGAGCAAGCCAGAAGTACAAAAATTAAGCAAACGTGTGTACTGCCCATCATTACTATGCTCCCTGAAGTACCGTGCGTTGCAGCTCCCGTAGACACTAGCGCCAGAGTTCCCTCTACTGTATATTAGGAAACTCTATGGGTGGAGCCACTTTTTGAAGGGGTGAGTGCCGCCTTCCGATCAGCGGCCACCATTCGACTCCCCCCGTCTCGTCGCGGCTGGTTGAGTGAGACACGTGTGCGGCGTTTTCTCGGGCAAATTGGCTGGGTGTTGCGTGCCACAGTGCACAAACCACTCGTGAAATGATTACAGGATGTTCAGATTCCCGAAAGATCCAAAAAGGCGACTCCTGTGGCTTGTAAAGATTAAACGCGAGAAGTGGAAACCCACGAACTGTACGTGTTTGTGCAGTGTAATTTATGACATTTCAGCATTTCGAGAGTTATAACTTAAAGGACCACTTGCCATGCCTTATACCAAATTTAAGTTAGACAGTGGAAGTTGTTGGGTGTCCGACGAGGAACATTTTGCCACATTTTTAAAAAATTGGTTGATTTCGAGCTGAAGAAACTGATTTTTTTAAGCTACGTGAAATGACGATGAGAAGAGGCGATCTCGAAACCCTTGCCGCTCCTCCACGTAGCCTTCGCAAGCCAAATCTCTTCCCTACCTTCTCCGGCATCCGACCAAGAGATCACGTGCGCATCACGCGCCCGAACAAGCCCAATTCTCGTGCAAGCGAGCGGTGTGTTCTTTTTTTTTTTTTGACCAACGTTGTTTTGAGGTCTACTGCCTGTTTCTGCGAGATGTTTTGGAAACGCTGGCTTAGACGCGGTAGAATAGATGAGCACAATCAGTGTGCGAATGCATAGGAGCGTTACACGGCTGTCGTCTGCTCAATGCGCTGACCGCGGAATCATAGTGACACGAACGCATGCGAAACGCCGGCACATTAGCCCCGCATCTCGCACTGTAAAAACTAAGGGAGTTGTGGGCAATTTTTTTGGAAGAGTACTTTCTTGTCCCATAGCTCACTCCCTTTTTTGGAGTAAATCACGTCTTGTTGAGGTACAGTACAGTGATTCCGCCAAACGGGTCAAAGCACTTCAGCTCAACAGAGTAGCATATCGCTACCCGAAGCAGAGTATCATGACCCCAACAAAGAGAGTAACAGTAAACATGACGAAAAAAATTGCAGGACTTGACTGAAATGGAGCTTTTTAATCGTTTTCAACGGATCTCCACGCACGGGGATTGTAAGGATAGGTAAGTTCGAAGACTACGACAAAAAATTTAAAAATATTTTTAAAACACAAACAAGTGTTATTCGAACCTTCTATCTCTAGACGTACTATGATTTTCCAGCCCGCCACGC